TGCCTCATTAAAAATAACTGCCTCACTAGGTTGTGTGTGTGGGTGTGTGTAGATACTGCACAGACCTGCTAGCTCTGCAGGGTGGTCCTGTCTGTGTAACACACTGTGAGACCAGATACTGGCTAGTAATCCTTCGTGACTATAATCTGTCTGTCTTTTCTGATCTTGATTTCCTCTGAGTTAGTCATTGTTCTGAACAATTTTGACTTAATTAGTAAGAATTTTTCTGAAGACACTGAGAATATTTCAACCAAAGTAATTAAGGAAACAGTGCACCCTTGTGATAAAATATAACCTTTATTCATATTTCTGTGAAGACCAATCAATTAAGAAATCCCAAAAGTTTTTGAATTGAGGTTAATGGTGGGAGGGGTAAACCTTTAAAAAAATTTTTTTTTTCTGTTGTCATCACTATGTATTTCAGGAATTGGTTATTGTCTCATTTTCTAAGTACTTCACATTTGAAGTAGGTGAGAGGTCAGAACTATATAGAATTTGCCTTAAATACTTGTTAATTTTGGTTTTCTTTAAGCTGTTTAAAAGATTTATGTTGACATAAGCTATATATGTATTTGCATTCTGTAAATGTATATATAAATGAACTCTTTGAGTTATTCTTTGGAGGTGATAGGATTCAGAGCAGGCTGACCCAACTATGTCATTTTGACATACTGATTATTTTGAATTAAAGTTAGTTGAGAAACAGCCAGTGTTAAGAACACAATGACCATCCTTTGTCCCCCAAAAGCAGGAAATAAAGCTCCCATGTGAATGCATCCTCCCTATTCCAAGAGGCTAGAAGGCATCCTTATCACCAGAGAGAGGGAATTCAAGACCAAAAAGTAAACAAATGTTGTTACTTCTCCATTAATTTGCTACCTTAAACAAAAACCGTTTTTTCAAATCTTCACAAATAACTGTTTCTTTCACTTTACTCAATCTAGTTAATCTAGATTTCTTTATTTATAAATATATTAGATTGAAACAAACCATGTATGGATCATAAATAAGAAGTATTTGTTTTAATATTAAATTTTAGTTTTATCCTTTGTCCTCTATAAATACACAAAAGAAATTCAAAACATATTTAATCTATTGTTTATCTCTTTATCCTTCAAAAAAATTTCAGTATCTCTAGGCCAAAATAAAATTGTATGTGTGTATATTTCACAAATATCATTTCTTAACAGCAAGTACTTTTTTTTTTTTTTTAACCACAAGAGTTCCCTAAATCCTGAATCATGCTTTATATATGCAGGCCATTTTATGTGCCTATCAGACTGTTGCAACACTGCAGTCTATTCCAATGACTCCATATTAACCATATTAATATAGGAGAGCTAAATGTTTATTCTTTAGAACTAGTTTTTTTTTTAAATTTTTACTTTTGGCCTTGTCTGGTTACCGGTTAGCTCAGTTGGTTGGAGTGTTGTCTTCATATGCCAAGGTGATGGGGTTCAATCCCCAGTCAGGGCACATTCATCAACCAATGAATGCATAAATAAGTGGAACAACAAATATCAACAAATATCTCTGTCTCTCTCTCCCTCCCTCCCTGCCCCCCTTCCTCTCTCTCTCACAAATCAATCAATATAAAAAAACTAACTTTACTTTTAATCCCATCTGGATGCAGAAAATATCAGCATCTAAGGATATTAGAAGGATAGAAAGACCAGGAACACGAGTTACATAAAGTGGCAGTGAAATAGAATTCCTCTGAAGTTAACCGAAAACACAGATTACTTTGAATTGAGAACAAACCAAACCGGTCCTTTCTTTCCACCTTAGGTCAAAATTCCCTGTCTTGTGCAGTCAGTGTTAATCTATCAATATCAGTATAATTAAATATGGTTTTTCAATAGGGGTAATAAAATAGAATATACTTTAGGTAGGATGACTTTGATGGGGCAATATTTTTGTCACAGTTAGGTTATACGGTACAAACCATATTATTACTTTGAATATAAGTAAATATAAATATTCCTATGTCTACCCCTGCACTAATTTAGGTATTCATTGAGTGCCTGCTCTATGCCAAGCAGAAAGATACACACCCTCCCATTAAAACTTTATAATTTCTTTGAGGAGATAATTTAATTGACAGACAACAATAATTCAGTGTAGTATGTTTAACCTAACTCTTCTTCAATAGCTTGATTTATTTCAGTAAAATGATGAGTATATTATAGACAACAACACTGTACTATAAACTCAAAAGTTGCTAAGAGACTAGATCTTAATTGTTCCCATCACAAATAGATATATTGTATAACGTGATAGAGGTGGTAGGTAACCTAAGGTGGTAATCATATTGCAGTTTATAAATGTGGCATATCAACATGCTGTACACTTTAAACTTGCATGTTATACATCAGTTACATCTCAATAAAAATAAATTTTTTAAAAAGATGAGTATGTATTTGTATAATTATATCTCCTATTACTTTAATGATTTGAGGTTACAAGGGGATTTAAGTATTTTCCCAGAAACAGTCAATGATCTTTTATAGTGGGAGCAACCCATAATCTACCATTGGGTATCTGTTTGTACAGGGTTTGTCTATTTTTAGTTTGTTCATTTCAATCTGGCTTGTGAATAGAACAAGGAACCCCCATTAATTACCTCAGAGTAGTTTTCTCAACTAAACTGTTATGTTTACATGTTTTTGCATTAGGCTTTTTATGGGATACTAATAATAAAATTAATCTGGGCAATAATTTTAAAATGCAGTATTTAAGTATATACGCTGTTTTTAAAAAATCATTCGGAAATAGGACAGTAGCATTTTAATAGTAATTTGTATTTTGATCACTAGATGGCACCAGACACATGTGTATACCTAAGGAGAAAATGGCCTTTCTCAGCAGTTGTTTCTAAATACAGCTTAAGAATATAAATGTTTTCAGTATTATGAGCCATAAGTCTTTTGTTATCCACTTCATAAAATTTCTATTGCTACAAAATATTTATTTTTTTGGCCAAAATAATTTCACATATGACTCTTTTAGGTATAATAAATTCTGAGACACAGCCTCTGCCATTACTCTGATAATCATTCATAAAACTATTCTATTCTTAGCTACTTAATTATATTATTTTCCCATTCTTAAATTTGCCCTAATTTACTAGTACCATCTTTTTCCTAAAAAAAAAAAACAATATTTCAATTTTCTTAAAAGCTTTTGGAATTAAAGAGCTTTTAAAAATTAAATAGCTTTACCTCACATAGCTTTGGAGATATTGAGAAGTCCTAGAAATTAACACACAAATGTCTCTGTAGAGCATATTACAAGAAGAGCACAAACTACCAACTGTTTTGTTCTTGGTCTCCTGACTTCTGATTATTATTCTCATAATATTACATAGTCCTATTTTTAGGGGGTCTGGTTATGATTGGTTTTTGAAATGTATTAATTTCTGAAGAGAGATGGTCTCAGTTGCAAATAATTGTTATCCGTAATGTTTATGCTGTTATTGGAGCTATTTCACATGCCCAGGAGGCGTCCAGAGTTTGGGAGGTACTTCCAGCAGTGGCGGAGTCGGTGTCTTCGAAAGCCGGGGATGTCATCAGGGACCAGGCTCCTTTCACGTCTCCACTAGGCCACCTCTGGCATGTTAGACCTGTGCTTTGTGTTTGAGATAGTTATAGCAATTCAAGGTAGACATGCAGTCATAGCAAAGTCCAAAACAGAAGGGACGTGCCCTCCTTCATAGATTTATTCCTATCAGTGGTGTACAGGACTCCGAAGACCCCCAGCAGAGTTCCCCTAAAGTCTCATTGGTCATGCCTGGGTCTCCCACACTGTCCCATACAACTTACTGGCAGGGGCAGGAATTACCAGGATAGGTTAGACTGATAGAGATTTACGTCTTCCTGAGCACCCAGCACCTCAGAGGAGTATAAAACCTCTAATACAATAAGAGTACTTTCCATAAGAGGAGAGGGGGAATGTGGATTTGGGTAGGCAGACAGTAGTATTTGCTACCATTTCTGGTTTTGTTTCATTTTATTTTGTTTTTTCCCTTAGAGACTCTTTTTTACCTGTCCTGCTAGTCTTGAAATGTAACTTTCAGTTCTGTTATTTCAATTGCATGATGCTGTTCAGAGCTCCAGGGCTAGCCTGTGTCTGTTGCAGGTTATGGTCTGTGCACATGTCTCACTTTGTTTATGCACGTGTTCTTTTCCTAGCAGTTAAAGAAAGTGAGCTTGGTTCTCTTGGTCTGCTTATTAGTGCAATCATACCCAGAGAACAGCATCTGTAAAGTGCTTTGTGAACTTAGTAACATTTCAACCACATCTGCAGTTGTTTGCTTAGTACCCACAGCTTTGAAGGCACCAAGTAGGTGCATCTGACCTGGACTTTTGGAGATACTGCTATTTTCTGCCTTGGAGCTCAGCCTGACCCCTTGGACTCTCTAAACACCCAAAGGAGCAGAGTCAGCAGCCCCAGCTCAGTGATTCAGGTTCTTCAGCTTTCATTGTCCACTGTAGTGCCTTTTGGCCTTTTCTGACTTCTTTTTCCGTTTGACATCTCAGCACTTCTTAGGGGCTATAATAGACTAGCTCTTCCAGTGTAAGTTTCACCCAAAACAAAACTACTGTGACTCTGAGGGACCCAGCTCCCTTCTTGGCTGCTTCATGCCAAAGTTGTGTTCATGGTGCATTATCTGCATATTTATTTGTTTATCTGTATTTAACGAATATATGTTAAATGATTAAAAGTATTTATCAATCGATATTCTAAATGTAGTAACATTTTCTGATTTGAGAATGCTGATTATATTGTTTATGTTGTAACAGTTTATCAGTTCTTGTGAAGTAGCCAAAGAGATTCTCAACTGACATTTTCAACCATCATTATATTTTAAGTAAAGAACAAAAGTATTCTTAAGAGGCAGTAATAACTGCTAGGTTTTTTAATCTATAGTTTTGAGAGATTAACTTGTTTGAGAACATGCTAAGTTGAAAAAAAATCTCCTTGATATTTTTATTTTTCAGAAAACTGTGGAATATATTTTCCAGAAATAAAGAGAGATCCAGGCAGGTATTTACACAGTTGTCCTGAATCTGTAAAAAAGTGGCTTCAACAGCTAAAGAATGCTGGGAAAATTCTCGTATTAATCACCAGTTCTCACAGTGATTACTGTAGACTTCTCTGCAAACATATCCTTGGGTAAGTGATGAGACATTCTGTTTTCACAGTCTTATAAAATACTGAGAGCAGATTAGGCCAGTGTTTTTAAAAGGTGCTCCACCATGATGACTATGTTATATTACACAACATTGAGTGGCAAACGGTTGTTTCTCCTAACATCTCTCAACATCTGCAACATAACCCAGGTACATGTTAGCACAGCAGCGTTCCTGGGGTTCATATGCTCATAGCTGCTGATGATCTGGGTTTCAGACTTTCTGAAGGGGGGACAGAACACGAGTCCTCCATGCATTTGGTTTCTCAGCTCGATGATTGCTGAGGGACGGAGCTGTAGGTCATACTCCTGATGAGTAACTGGAGTACAGCCTCTCTGTAGCCTTTCACCATGCAGCCATATCCTTCACCATTTAGCATAGCCAGGGACGAGATTGGCATCCATGAAAATTGAGGCAGTGGAAATGCGTAGACTTGAAAATAAGACAGACGTGGTTCAAGCCCTACCTTGAACTTCCTGTGTGATGTAGTACTCTCTACATCACACAGTGTTTCGTCACTTTAAAAATGGAACAGTAGCCCGGCTGGTGTGGCTCAGTGGTTGAGCATCGACCCATGCACCAGGAGGTCACCGGTTCGATTCCTGGTCAGGGCACATGCCCAGGTTGTGGGCCCAATCCCCAGGGCGGGGCATGCAGGAGGCGGCCAGTCGATGTTCACTCCCATCGATGTTTCTCTCTCTCTCTCCTTCTCCCTTCCTTTCTCTCTAAAATCAATAAAGAAAAATAAAATTTTTAAATAAATAAAAATGGAACAATATACTTTACAGGTATTTATAGAGCATAATACATATAAAATATTAGGCAGATAAGCTGTTTCAGTTTCAGTAAGTGTTAATACTTATTTATGTCATTCTTCTGGGCAACACCAGGGAATATCCATGGTCAGAGCAAAAGTCTAAAGTAGATTCAGATTCTTGCTCTGATTTCAGCAAATACTGGGAATAGGAAACAAGTTCTCACTTCAAAACTGACCTCTGGCTGACCTCTTTAGCTCCGGTTCCATGTTCCTCAGCGCATGTGGATTTAGACTGGCCTGCGGTGCACTTGCAGTCTGAGTGGATTTCTGCTTTCTGACTCACACCAAGGCTTGGGATCCCTGAAGGGAACCAAGGCTGAGGTCCCAGATGCCGGGAAGGTGCTCTTACAGAGACCTTTGCTCTCCTGGTGTGGAACCATGCTTCAGAGCAAACACTCTGGAGTCTTAATTTCTTTTCCTTTAGCATAGAAACCAAATATTTTTCTTCCTACATTTTTTTTTAATCATCACCAGAGAATATGCTTTTGGGTTGTTGGTTTTTTTTTTGTTACAGTTTTTTTAGAGAGAAAGGAAAGGAAGGAGAGAGAAACATCGATTTGCTGCCTCCTTGTACAATACCCTGACTAGGGATCAAACCTGAAACCTGGGTCTGTGCCCTGAATGGAAATTGAACCCGCAACCGTTTGGTGTAGGAGATGACACTCCAACCAGCCGAGCCGCTGGTTTTCCTTCCTGTCTTAATTTCTCTTCAGTACAGTTTTGATTTGTAAAAGTATTTGGGGATGTTGGATGAATATTGTCTCCAGTGCAATAGTGAGTCCCTCCGGAACCAGGACTCCCATTCCTTTGCTACCCAAGTAATCCTAAATATGGTACTAAACACGGACTGAAAACAATTATTATTGTTATCTAAAAATTGCTACATTATAAGACTACACCGATTTTCAAAATAAACGATCTTCTTCACATTTTGAACACTTTCTGAAGACATAGCTTTGACTATTTCTAGCTCTTAGAAACTATTGAATTCACTTACTGTGACTATAACCATGATGAGAAAGCTTACTTTTCTTATGTTTATATCAAGGTTTTTTTCCGGGAATACTTGTGCTAAGTCACCTTTTATTTCCAGTGTAGGATTTACTTTAAAAGGTATAGAAAGCGTGTAAAAAGTTTATCAAAAGATAAGAAATGGTGGTGAGATCAAGCAGATAGGTGAAGAGTAAGTTCTGTTTCATATAGACCATTTCTAATTCCTTAAAGTAAATTTTTGAACGTCTTGTTGCTTTTCAGGAATGACTTTACAGATATTTTTGACATCGTGATTACAAACGCACTGAAGCCTGGTTTCTTCTCTCATTTACCAAGTCAGCGGCCATTCCGGACCCTCGGTAAATGCGTTTTGGTTGTTTCCTTTTTCTGTTTACGATATGTTGTTCATTTACTCGATTAATAATCTGCTGGCTAACAACCACGTGCAACCATCTGACTGTGTTAGATGCAACAAGGATACGGTATAAAAGAGGCCCCCTGTGTTCTTTCCCTGGTGGGGGAGAATAAAGATGATAAACCTACTTTGTATTAAATTTTACTCAACCACATTGTATCATAATTATTTGTCAGTCTTCCCCTGACTTTAAAAATGAAGGGTGTGGGCTTTCCCTTAGTGTTTAGGGCCTAAATAAATGCTTCCATAAATATTTGAGGAGTGAAGCAACTGTAATAAGTCAGAACGGGTAGTTTTTAGAACAAAGGTACCTGCAGAATACACGAGGATAACAAACTATGGAGCAGCCCTCCCCCTGGGACGAGCACAGCCTGCAGGGAAGGGTGGTCAGAACAGGCGCACGTGGGGAAGAGGCCGAGGCAGAGGTGGAGTGAAAACAGTGAACGCATTTTTCATAGACAAATAAATGAGAATAGCAGGCAGAGGGTGGAACAGGGGGGATTGAGAAGTACAAATTGCCAGTTATAAAAACAGTCACCAGGATGTAGGTTACAGTATAGAGAACATAGTCGATAATTTGTAATAACCATGTCAGTAATACTGTGATAGCTATGTATGGTGTCAGACGGATACTAGACTTTACTATAACTTTGTAAGTTATATACATGTCTAATCATTGTTATACACTTGGAACTAATATAATATTTTATGTCAGCAGCAATTGAAAAACAAAAATAAAATGAAGCTGTTATATCACCTTAAATGTTTCAAATGGAATTTCAGCTCTATAGCAGTTTGATAGCCACCAATGCCCATTTAATAAAACTGAGGAGAACTGGTTCAGAATGGTCAGAAATTTTCCCTCATTTTTTTTTTTCTTGAACTTATTTTCCTTTCTACTTTCACCACAATGTTTTAAAGTTTTAATTTCAAATATTTATAGATTCCTAGGAGGATGCTAAGAAAGGTACAAGGAGGTCCCATGTACTCTTCACTCAGCATTTCCCAGCATTAACACGTTGCATAATAACAGCACAACATTAACTGACATTCAGACAATCAAGAGCTTACATATATTTCACCAGTAAATATGCACTCACTGTGTGTGCATACATGTGCATACTCTATGGAATTTGAAAAAAAAAAACGTGTGAGGCTAGCAGAGTAAGACATCCTGATAGGTGCTGTCTGAAAGTTTGTTGAAAAAATATTTAAAAGATTCAAAGCAGAGCCTGCTCAGGAGTGAAGAAGTTACAGGGGTCTGAGAGGCAGTCAGTTTAGTTGTTGATATCTGTTGTATATTTTATTTCTATTGAAATTGATGCCAAGTAAGCTCAGTGTTAAAATGAATATTGCAGGACCATTCAGAAATTCTGTTAAGAGATGACCATCTAAAATAAGCCCAGGAAAGGTTGAAAGTTAAAACACTGTGAGTGATTATAGCCCTGGCCGGTTTGGCTCAGCGGTTAGAGCGTCGGTCTGCGGTCCTGAGAGACCTGGGTTCGGTTCCCGCTAAGGGCGCGTACCTCGGTTGCAGTTTGTCCCCGGCCCTGGTTGGTTGTGCGGGTGGAGCCACTCGATGTGTTCCTTTCACATCGATGTTTCTCTCTCTCTCTCTGTTCCTCTCTCTCCCTCCCACTCTACCTGAACAAAAAATGGAAAAATGTCTTCGGGTGAGGATAAAAAAAAACAAAACAAAACAAAAAAAAACAAAACCCACTGTGAGTGATTATAAATGCATATAAATATGTATAAGGCATTAATAAATAACACATGTAGACCTAAGTAGAGATCTAGGTGTGTTTAAAGAGAATGTTATAAAAAGTGAACATATTATTTATGTATATTATGTGCATAGTATATATAACTATCCACTATAATAAATGCTTTATATAGTTTAACTTACTTTTGACTCAGATGCTTGACATTATGTGAACAATCTCGGCAGGGTTGGAATGATATTTAATATCTATTTCTCCTTACTTTCCTATGGTCACACACTACCCTTTGGGGGAATTAAATTCAAAATCCTCAAAAGAATGCTTGGGTGAATCTCATACATCCATTGCTTTTTAAAATGATTAGTGTTCTATGTGTAAGAATTATAAAGTAATAGTCCCGTGTTTTCTTCTAATATTTTAATACTTTTAATTTTGTTTGTTTGTTTTTATCCTCATCCGAGGGCATGTTTGCATTTACCTTCAGATAGAGCAGGAGGGAAAGAGGGAAGAAGAGAGAGAGAGAAACATCGATGTGAGAGAGACACATCGAGTGGTTGCCACCCACAGGACCCCAACTGGGGCTGGGGACAAACTGCAACTGAGGTACATGGACCGAATCCATGGGACTCTGGTCCATGGGCTGATGCTGTAACCGCTGAGCAAAACCGGCCAAGGCTAATAGTTCTAGTTTTCACATGTAGAAATTTGATCCATTTCTGATTCATCCTGGTATGTAATTTATGATGTAAGTTCCACCTTTATTTTTTATTTTTTCTGATATCCTCACAAGTGTCCCACTATAATTTTCCCCACTGCTTTGCAATGTCACCTTCATTATATACCAAATTCACATGACTATATGGGGTAGTTTATGGACCTTCAATATTGTCCCAGTGGTCTTTTCTTTTTAATCCTCACCCAAGGATATTTTCCTATTTATCTTCAGATAGAGTGGGAGGAAGGGAGGGGAAGACAGAGGGACAGAGAGAGAAACATTGATGTGAGAGGGACACATCGACTGGTTGCCTTCCCACACAACCCCAACCGTGCCTTGACCAGAATCGAACCCATGACTCTTTGATCTGCGGGCCTAGGCTCTAAACCGCTCAGCCAAACTGGCCAGGGCACCCAGTGGTCTTTTCATTCAAATATCAGAACCAAACTATCTTAATTATTGACATGCTATATTTCTTTATATTTGACAGGGCCAGTGTACCCTCATGTCACAATAGGATTGGTGAAGCTATAGGGAAATTAATCTTGTATATGAATAAATCATACAATATGATTGTCTAACCACTATGCTGTACACCTGAAACCAATATAAATAATGCTGAAAGTAAAACGTAATTGAAAAATAAAAATTAAAAATGCAAAATAATATAATAAATTATACAATTTCTTGGGGAGCAATTTGGCGATATCCATAAAAAGATATAAATAAATACATGTATCATCTGATCCAGCAAAAACACTTCTAGTAATCTTACAGAGATAAAACCTTATTGGGGAGAATAAACCTATTAAAATTATATATCTTACTGGGTGAAAGGTGAAGGGATTAAGAAGTACAAACTGGCCTTGGCAGGTTTGGCTCAGCGGTTAGAGCATCAGCCTGCGGTCCAGAGAGACCCAGGTTCAGTTCACACTAAGGGCATGTACCTTGGTTGTAGTTTGTCCCTGGCCCTGGTTGGTCATGCGGGTGGCAGCCACTTCATGTGTCCCTTTCATGTCAATATTTCTCTCTCTCTCTCTCTCTCTCTCTCTCTCTCTCTCTCTCTCTCTCTTCCTCTCTCTCCCTCCCACTCTGTCTGAACAAAAAATGGAAAAAATGTCCTCAGGTGAGGATAAAAAAAAAAGAACAAGTTGGCAGTTACTAAATAGTCATGACATGTACACTGCAGCATAGGGAATATAGTCAATGATATTGCAGTAACTATGTATGGTACCAGGTGGGTACTGGAAGTATAGGGGGAACATTTTGTAAGCTAAATGATCATCAGTAGGGGGACTAGCTTAATAAATTATGGTTCATATACACAATGAAATACAATGCAGTTATAAAAAATAATGAGGAAGTTTTGTGTATACTGATATGGAATATCTGCAATGTATATTAAGTAAAAAACAAAGGTAACCATGTGTTAAATATACTAACATTTTATAAACAAAAGGAAAAGTAAATGTTTAACTTTGAACTTCTTTGGGCTATTGAAAGGCGGTCGCTTGGTTGTGTGCTCACAGAGGGGCACACAAGCAGGGGTAGCGGGGTAGGGTCGGAGCAGTCGGTGTCCAGCACTGAGGGATCCTCAGTGCGCCAGACAGATGCATAAACAAGCAAGCAAGTCAGGAAATCCATGAGGTCGTGTTACGTGTTGTGAAGGAAGTAACCGCCTGATGAGGCCACCTTGAGTGGCTGGCCAGGGAAGGCTGTCCAAAAAGGTTAGTTGAGGTGACACGCAGAGGGACCTGAGGGATGAGTCATGAGGAGAGCAGAGGATGAGTGTTCCTGGCAGGGGGCGAACTAATGCAAAGGCCCAGTGTGGGAGAAGTTTGGGTGAGTTCCAGTGACAGAGAAGAGTCCTGTGGTTCTGACACATGGGGGTAGGCGAGGGGGGGAAGCTAGGGAGGCAGGCGGCCTCGTACACTGGGGGAGTGGTTTGGGTTTTACTCCGTGAGCAATCTGAAGCTATTCAGTTGAGGTAAAAGAGTGACGTAGAGACTTTTTATCTGCTGGGTGGGGAATGGATTGGATGTGTGTGTGGGGGGAGACCAGGCACTTGCAGTGTCCCGAGAGAGATTGTGGTGGTTTGGTCTGAGGCCGTAGCCCTGGCCCTGGTGATGGCGAGAAGTACATGTGGGGTGGGGGGCGGGGGGCAGGTTTATAGTTATGAATATGTGAACCACGGAGTTTATTCTTGCATTATCATTTCATTATTTTCCATATGAACACATGTAAACCTACTTTTGCCCCCCCCCTGTATATTTAAGATGCATTATGGAGTTGGAAAACATAGGACTTGGTGATGCTTTAGAAGCAGCAGATGAAAAGAAAGGAGTAATCAAAAATGACTCCCAGGTTGTTAATTTTTATTTTTTCTGAATTGAGCGGGTGGGTGCATGATGATACCACTTGCAGCGACAGGGAAGGTTACAGGAGAAAAGCTGGGGTGGGGCGGGGCTGTAACTACTAAGAACTCCTTTTTCAGCATATTAAATAGGAGTTGTCTAACTGGAACTGTCAATTATGAAATTGTGTAAATGAACCTAGAGTCCAAGAGAACAAACAGGAGCAGGCTCAGGATATAAATGTGGGAGCCATCAGCTCATGGAGAGGTATTTAAAGCCATGGGTTTATATGAGATCAAATAGAGAGAATGAGGGATAGGCAAAAGACTCACCAAGCTTTGACACACTCTCATGGTAGGGATAATGAAGAAAAAGTTCAGTCTGGGAGCAGACAGATTATCTTAGGGGGGCAGGAGAAGTAGGGGGTGCAGGGTTCAGAAGCCAGAGAAGGAAGAGAAGAGTGGATAACTAGGGCAAATGCTCCTGAAAAATCCATTGAAAAAGGGAAGAGGAAGTCCATTGGAATGGGCAAGACAGAGATCACCGGTGTCCTGCTGGGCTGTGGTAGAGATAGAGGCCAGATTGCAGTGTCTCGAGTTGATTGAAAGTAGTGGAACCAATGACTATAGACAACTCTTTCTAGAATTTTAGCTGTGAAGACAGTCAAAGAATTAAGGCTTTAGCTGAAAGACAAGTAAGGTCAAGGGCATATTTTATTGTTTAAACTGAAGGTATTAGAATATGCACATGTGCGAATGAAATGGGTCTAGTGGTTTTTAAGCTGTGAAACTTTTGCTCCTCAAGGCAAATTTGGCAATGTCTGGAGACATTTTTGGTTGTCACAACTTGGGAGGCAGGGTGCTACTGGGCATCTAGTGGGTAGAGGCCAAGGATGCTGTTACACAGCCTGCCACACACAGGACAGCCCCCCCATCCTGCCACCAACAAAGAATTACCTGGTCCCAAATCTCAGTAGTGACCAGGTTAAGAAACCCTGCTCTAGTAGAAAGTAAGAAATTGATGGTGGTTTTATATATGAGTTTAATGTCTTATATAAATCCTTGATATTAAGAAACAATCTGTTATGAGGAAGCCAAATAATCCTCTTTGTATTAAACTAGAAAACAATTTAAATGTTTTCCCTTCTTCACAAACTTATATTTAAATATATAACTAAGTACTCAGTTCTTTTGTTGTTGTTAATCCTCACCCAAGGATATTTTTCCATTGATTTTTAGATAGAATGGAAAAGAGGAAGAGAGAGAAAGAGAAATATCGATGTGAGAGACACATCGATTGGTTGCCTCCTGCACGACCCCAACCGGGGCCAGGGATTGAACCTGCAATCCAAGTACGTGCCCTTGACTGTACTCAAACCCACAACCCTTCAGACAGCGGAGATGCTGTAACTGCTGAGCCAAACCAGCCAGGGCTAAGTACTCAATTTTTATCTGCAAGGTGTTCATATTTTGTTCCTGTTTATACCTGTCCTGTACCTATACTTATTCCATTCCACAGATTTTTACTAAAATTTTACATACCAATATTACCTATTTATATATTTGTGAAGTGGTTGTAATAGCAGGTGCTCACTGAATGCCCGCTCCCATCCCCCACATGGTCCCTTCTTATCCATGTCCTGCAGCTGTGCCTGGGTGTGGTCTACCCAACTGGGTGCTCTCACTTGCCTAATATATGATTGTCAAACTGTCTTTTCAGAGAATGACGAGGAGCAGGAGGCATTGCCATCTCTGGATAAACCTGGCTGGTACTCTCAGGGGAATGCTGTCCACCTCTATGAGCTTCTAAAGAAAATGACTGGCAAACCTGAGCCCAAGGTATTTTCTCACTGAGGCAGAGTCCTTGATGCCCACGTGCCGACATAAACTATCATAAACTAAAACCATGACTCTTCATGCATTTAGCTTCGTTATCCATGGGGAAATCATCTGCCTCTGCCCAGTCTGTTCTCTTACCTCTTCTGTGTAAATAAGCCTTTCCTTTGTTGACTAGGTCTTTGTCTGTAACAGAGAAGAGCAGAAATTCCAAGCAAGGGGCCACCGATCTAGGGGGGATTTGTGTGTGGGTACCTGAGGAATGATATCCTGGTAGCAATTCCTAACAAAAGCTTTTATATATAAAATAAGCAGTAAATGAAGCTACAGTACAGCCTCACCTAAAGACACACTTGCTTTTGACATCCTGGTCATATTGTTGATGTTGGACATTGGTGCATTTTTAAGAGCAGGACATTTCATCTAAAAAATGTTGGCCAGGAGCCCCGTGAGCAGGAGAGGTCAGTGGGTAACAGCCCTGCTCCATTGGCCCCCATGTTGGCACTGTAACAAGTCCCCTCTAGTACCTCACAGTTCTCAATGCTGGGGGCAGGTTTGCCTGTAAACATATGGACTTTCACTTCTTCAGGAAATTTTAACAAAGTCACATATTTTCTGCCTTTTTTCTACCTACACGTGCATTGTATAATTTATCAAAATGAACACGGCAGCCTGCAGACCAAATGGGGCAACGGGAGATGTCCCCTGTAAGGTTCTTCAAGGAAATTTAAGACGTTTATGCAGCTCCCAGAGTATTTTCTTCTGCCTTAAATGAAATGACAGCCACTCTTTTTCACAATTCTAATGCCTCACACAGAATTTGCTGTCTGACTTACAGGTTGTTTACTTTGGTGACAGCATGCATTCAGATATTTTCCCAGCCCGTCATTATAGTAACTGGGAGACAGTCCTCATCCTTGAAGAGCTCAGAGGAGATGGAGACTGGAAGCCCGAGCAATCAGAGCCTCTGGAGAAGAAAGGGAAATACGAGGTAAGGGTTCCTGTTAGCCCTTTCCTTGCTCGTTTGTGCCACAAGGGATGAGCTCTGTTGGCAGTTACTGTGGTCATCTTTGTCAGCTACCGTTGTCCTGATGATAATTTGTAAATGACACTGAGATGACACAGGTCAGTCTGCCTTCCCCGCCCTCCGCGTTCCCCCAGTGCCCGGCGCCGCGGGTGTGTTTTGGTTGGTGCTGAGGCTGCCAGATCCTGACTCACCGGAGTTACACTGTCTCATTTCCTTGGCCGCAGAAGTGCTTTGCTCTCTTCCTGGGTCTCGCTGAACTGAATGGGTGGCTCCCGTAGGCTTCCTCCTGAGTCCCCGGAATGAACTTAGGGAGAAGACTTCAGGTAAAGAAAAGCAAAAGATGTCCTAAATCTAGAAAGGGAAAATAGTGTTTAAAAGCAAAAGGAAACAGAAAAGAAGATCAGAAAACAAAATGCATTTTTCTAAATCATTCTAGTGGAACAATTATAAAGGAGGAAAAACTCAAGTCAGAAGAACAAAAATCATATCAAAAAAGACCAATAAAATGAAATAAGCTATCAAGCCACAAAAAGTCATGACTAAGTCAAAGAAGTCAATCCGAAAAGGCTGCATACTGTCTGATTCCAACCTTATGACAGTCTGAAAAAGGCAAAAATATAGAGTAAAAAGACCAGTGGGTGCCATGGGTTTGAGGGGAGTGGAAAGAATGAATGGAATTTTTATGGTGATAAAACTATTCTGTATAATTTTGTAATAGTGGACACATGACATTAATAATTTGTCAAAACCCATAGAACTATACAACATAAAGTGTGAATCCTAATGTAAACTATATACTTTTGTCAAAAATAACGTATCAATATCAATTAACCATTTGTAACAAATGTACCACACCAAATTAATGCAAGATGTTAATAATGAGAGAGACAGTGGTGAGGAGGCAGGAGGGGAACATATATATATATATATATATGAATTTTCTGTACTTTTTGTTCTATTTATCTGTAAACCTAAACCTGTCCTAAAAAATAGAGTCTATATTAAAAGAAAAAATAATAACTATAAGCAGACACAAACAAAATGTTAGAATAAAGGGGTCAGGTTTCTATAAGGTTTCCATTGAGTAGCATTTGGTCTTCAACGTGGCACCGGAAGTTCTTTGGACTTTTTGAGTTAAGAAGAGCTTTAAAACAGCCCTCCAGGGAACCTGAGTGACTTTTGGAAAGGTTTTCACTGAAGAGAGATTTGGTTTCTTCGGAGTGATTTGAGAATGTAGGTACAGTAATAAGAAAATGAGGCATCGGGGGACAGGCTCCGCCAGCATCATGCTCATAGCAGCCCCGTCCTTCTCCCTCAGACCCTCTCCTGTTAGCTAGTTATAAACACATCATAAACAAAGCGTTATAATTGGCTTCTAGACAGGAAATGGTGAGTCAACAGCTTGAAGATCTTATTTCCTAAGATAAAATTGAAATAAATAATGTTTCTTCCCCTTGAACTCCACATATTTCATAATACTCGAAATGTTTATCATAAGCAGCAGACATAAATAAGAGCTTATTGGATTAGCAGAGATATCTCAATAAGGCCACTCATTAAATAGTCAGTCTAGCACCATTCTCTTGTCCAACATAGATATACTGAGTTTTCCATTTGTGCAAGCCTCTCTGCTAAGAATGCCGGGCCTAACCATTGATCAAACACAGTTCCTTTTTACAGAATGTATCGCAGTCCGAGGCGGAAGGGGCTGAGGAAATTGAGTATACAGAGCAGAACTGCCCAGGGAGGGTACATTATAAAAGAATTATAAACGAGGCAAGATGGATACTTTATTGAGGAGAATCAGGGAAAACTTCATGAAAGAACATAGAATTCGAAGTAAACACTGAAGAACAGGTACATTTTCCACCGATGTATAACACACTCTGGGTTCAGGAAATAACATGAGTCAGTGTGCAGACAGTGTAACGTACAGGCTACAGTGCAGTGTTGACCGTGTATGAGTTTGTCGGCTACAGGAACCACTAACAGTTTTCGGAGGTGGGAGTAAGTGTTTAAGCTTTTGTATAGCTGCCGTGTAGGGGGTGGACTCTGCGGGGAGGAAGGGACTGGGAGGCTGTTGCAGCAGCCTGTACCAGAGGTAATACACAAGGAACAGGTAGATATAACAAGAAAGAAATGGAATATGTGGGCAGATGTTCTTACCTACTGATGAGCCTGGTGCTAGTGGTAGGGGCTGGACTCAAAGCTCAGCTAGTTTTCAAGCACAAGCAACTGGAAATGATGTGTTTTGTTCATATAAATATGGAAGTCAAGAAAAAGCTGGTTTGTGAAGAGGGGGGTATGATTGATTTAATCTCTAATCCCATTTCTTTGAAATATTTAGAGATGAGATCAAACTGGCTTGTGGGAAATAGGTTAAGTCTAATTAGGAAAACTGGGACATAGATGAATGTCTAAGGGAGAAAGACTAGAAAGAGAAGATAGGAACTTGGTGAAAACACCTACCATTAAAGCAGTGGTTCTCAACCTTCCTAATGCCATGACCCTTTAATACAGTTCCTCATATTGTATGTGGGCATATCTGCATGTGGGCGGACCCTCTTAGAGACAGATAGAGGTGTTTTCCGATGGTCTTGGGCAACTCCTGTGAAAGGGTCGTTTGACCCCCAAAGGGGTTGTGACCCACAGGTTGAGAACCGCTGCATTAAAGGATAATATTTAAAAGTCCTAAACAGCCCTGGCCAGTTTGTCTCAGCAGTTAGAACATCAGCCTGCGGACCAGAGAGACCTGGGTTTGGTTCCCACTAAGGGCATGTACCTCAGTTGCAGTTTGTCCCTGGCCCAACCGGGGCCGTGTGGGTGGCAACCAGTTGATATGTCTCTTTCACATCGATGTTTCTGTCTCTCTCTTCCTCCCTCTCTCCCTCCCACCCTACCTGAAGATAAATGCAAAAATGTCCTTGGGTGCGGATAAAAATTTTTTTTAAATCCTAAACAAACATAGGAGTGCTTTCTGTTGATGTTCAAAAAATGACATTTCTTTTGATTAGTGATATATTTATATTTGAAAAAAAGAGTGATTAAAAACCTCGATATCAGAATGAACAAAGATTACACCTGTTAGACTGTTTGGGCTGCTATACTAGTGTAGATTGGCTGGCTTATAAATAATAAACATCTGTTTCTCACAGTTGTGGAGGCTGGGAAGTCCAAGGTCATGGTGTTAATCAGTTCACTGTCTGGTGCGGACCTGCTTCCTCATACACCACCCTCTTCTCACTATACCCTCATGTGCCAGAAGAGGGCAGCGCGCTCTCTGGGGCTCTTTCATAAGGGCACTAACCCCCTTCATGAGGGCTCTACCCTCATGACCCAAAGACCTCCCCACCTCCTAATATCACCTTGGAGATTAAGATTTCAACATATGGCCCTGGCCAGTTTGGCTCGGCGGTTAGAGCGTCGGCCTGCGGTCCAGAGAGACCCAGGTTCGGTTCCCGCTAAGGGCACGTACCTCGGTTGCAGTTTGTCCCCGGCCCTGGTTGGGTCGTGTAGGTGGCAACCACTCGATGTTTCTCTCTCTCTCTCTCTCTTCCTCTCTCTCCCTCCCACTCTATCTGAACAAAAATGGAAAAATATTTTAAGGTGAGGATAAAAAAATGTAAAAAAAAGATTTCAACATATGAATTCTGGTGGAACACAAACATTTAGACCATAGTAGCATCCATGTTACATTGAACCAGAAAGGGTAGAGAGTTCTATTTTCCTGTCTTTATAATAGGGAGGAGCCTAGATTCTGTCACTCATCTGCAGGACCATTTTCTACATATATGTGATGTGAGTCATTTTTCTTCAGACCCATTGTTTTAGAAAAGATAATTAAATAAAATGTATAAATTGGTATTTTGGTATGGAGAAATTATATTGAAATACTCCTTAAATGTACACACAGGAATATGGATATTCATATTTCAATACTGCTCTTAAATATCTTTGGTGAAATCCAAATAGGTTCTTGCTGAATGATTTCCAAACACCATCATCTGCAAACATATATTTCTACCTTGCTTCACAAATCAAGTTCCAGCACAAAGAATTGCGAATCCAGAGGCGTATTTGGGACTCTGTGAGCTCCAAAATGACATTGTCTTCAGACAAGCACGACGGATTTTATAGTCCAGATTATGTGGATGGGATAGCATTTCTGTCAATTCTTAATTTTTTGCCAAACCCATAGGACACGGAGACGTACTTTTGAATGGGTCTGTAATTTAGTCTGCAATTTTCATGTGCCTGCTCTGTCCTAGGCACTAAGACTTAAGGATGCATTAGTACGTAACAACATTCTTAGCCTTACATAGTTAATAATCTGTCAAGGATGAAAATAAATACTATGATAGTTGTGAGACAGTATGAGAAGTAGTATATTAGGGATAAACTCAGGGTGTAGGGAAATGGAGGAGGAGATCTAATCCAACCTGAGTGTGGGAAGTCAAGGAACACATCCCGGATGGCATCCAAGCCCGATCCCAAAGGGTCAGAAGGGGTTCCCAAACAAAACCGGGGGGGGGGGGGAATACTTTTAAGGACTTCTAGGCTTTGTTTTACTTTTTATATAGTACATAGTTTGGTTAAGGGAAACAACTGGAATTCCTTCAGATTTTTTATTTTTATGTACTTATGAGGGGAAAACTTAAATAACAATAAGGTTGAACGTTAATCACAGTTTTCATTGTTCTATCCTCTTGTTTCAGGGACAGAAGTCAAAGCCTCTAAATTCATTATCTAAAAAATGGGGCTCTTTTTTTATTGATTACGTGTCGGGACTGGACCATACAGAAGACACCTTGGTTTCTACGTGGTCCTGTAAGAGAATCAGTACTTACAGCACGATCGCAATTCCAAGTATTGAAGCAATAGCAGGTAAGGGAAGAAGTATTTATGAAGCTTTACTTGTTACTTAATTACTAGAATCCATGCCTTTAAAAAAAGCAGATCTTTCCATCATGACATTTGTTTTTCTGGAGAAACATCTAGATTACCGAGAAACATCTAGGTTACCTATGGCAACCTAGGTAAATAGGACCTGCCCATTTCCTGGAGCCAATGACAAAAGGTGGGTAACTTTCTTTTTTGTTAATCCTCACTGGAGGATATTTTTGCCATTGATTTTTAGAGAGTGGAAGGGAGGGAGACAGAGAAAAACATCAATGTGAGAGAGACACATCGATTGGTTGCCTCCCACATGTGCCCTGACCAGGGTGGGGATCGAATGTCCAACCCGGGTATGTGCCCTTGACTGGGAATCAAACCCACAACCCTTCGGTGCGAGGGTCGACTCTCTCACCACTGAGCCACACCCGCCAGGGCGACAATCTTATATAATCTGCTTGGAGTCATAGGATGAAGGTAGGGGAAAACTAACAAGAAGCTAAGGAGGCCAGTAAGGAGGTTGACTTTGGGGCTGCTTTTCCCCCTGAATGTTTGCTGATTCAAGAGAGTCTCAACGAAAGGGAGTGGGTCTTTTAGTAGTTTCGTGAGCCTACAGGGATAGAAGTAGAGGGTCGGGCCTGCCAAAGGAGGGATGGGCCGGGTGGACTCTCAGTCTGTGCTGAGACCATGAAGGAGTTACCTAAGAGTAAGGATGAATTAGAAGGAGGACTGAAGCTCAGCTTTAAATCAGATGAATCCCTAGAATTGGATTCAGAAGATTCTAGATTGGTAGTGCCTCAGAGCACCTTGTAGAAATCAGTGAATATTCTCTTGAGGAATATAACATTCTAGGACTCAGATTATTTCTAAAAGCAATGTAAGGTTCAGTGTGCAATGAAAAATAGTCACACAGGATATGAGACTATCGTAACAGAGATAACCAAGTTCGCTGTGGTCAAGTACAGAAATGAAAGAAATGAGAAATATTGTAGAGACACAAAACTTTAAAAAGAATGGAATTTTAAAATTGAACTATTAAGAACTTAAAGGATGGGCTTAACAGCAGATTAGACACAGTTGAAAAATGAATTGGTACACTGGAAACTAGTCCAGACGGCTTTTAGACTGACCAAAATGGAGGAAATGTATCTCCAGAGACCTGCACTGCAGTAAATGCTAAAGGGTGTTCCTCAAGCAACAGTAGGAATGATCCCTGTGGGGAGATTGGAGATGCAAACAGGGATAAACAGCAACAAAAAGATAGACATGAATAAATCTAAATGAATATTTACTGTTGGAAACAGTGAAAAAATTAAGTCCTGTGGGGTTTAAGTGAAGAATTTAAAGACATGACAACAATGGCGAAAGGAAATAGCTGGAGTTAAAGTGTTCTAAATCCTTGTATTATATGAGAAAGGAGAAGAGTATGATAGATAGTGCTAAGTCAAAAATGCATGCCGTAATCAAAAGAATTGTAATGACACACATACTGAGCTAATTATGTTAAATAACATTAAAGTAAAAAATAAACAAGGCACCCTGGCTGATTTGGCTCAGCAGTTAGAGTGCTGGCCAACGGACCAGAGTCTCAGGTTCAATTCCAGCCAAGGACACGTGCCTCGGTTGTGGTTTGGTCCCTGGCCCTGGTCAGGGTCATGTGGGAGGCAACCAGTCGATATGTCTCTCTCACATTGATGCTTCTCTCTCGCTCTCTTTCTCTCTCTCTTTCTCTCTTTCTCACTCTCCCTCCCACTCTATCTGAAGATAAATGGGAAAATATCCTCAGGTGAGGATTTAAAATAAATAAATAAATAAACAAACAAACAAGGGAAACCCACCAGGTGTGACTAAGTTGGTTAAGCATCTGCCCAGGCACCAAGAGGTCACCAGTTTCATTCCTGGTCAGGGCACATGCCAGGGTTGCAGGCTTAATCCCCAGTAGGGGGCGTTCGAGAGGCAGCTAATCAATATTTCTCCCTCATCTGTTTCTAGCTCTCCCTCTCCCTTTCTCTCTAAAAATAAATGTAAAAATTAATAAAACAGCCCTGCCTGGTTTGGTTCAGTCGTTAGAGCATCGGCCTGCAGTCCAGAGAGACCCGGGTTCAGTTCCCGCCAAGGGCACATACCTTGGTTGCAGTTTGTCCCAGGCCCTGATTGAGTTGTGCAGGAGGCAGCCACTCAATGTATCCCTTTCACATCGATGCTTCTCTCTCTCTCTCTCTCTCTCTCTCCCTCCCTCCCTCCTTCCCTCCCTCCCTCCCTCCCTCACACTCTATCTGAACAAAAAAATGGAAAAATGGCCTCGGGTGAGGATAAAAAAATAAAGTTAATAAAACATATTTTTAAAAAATTAAGTTTGCAGAAATATATAACTGGAAGTCTGAGATATTCACCAGGGCCTTTCTCTTCTCTCAGTAGTAATCCCTCTCTGTTTTCTCAGTACCAAAAAACTCCTGGAAAATCCACTGTGCTTTACAGAGGTGCTTCTGCTTGCTCCTTGGTTTCCTGAACTTCCCTTCAGAATTTGGGGAAGGACTTTAGGAGAAAACCAGCAGAGTCCATTTCTCCACCCCTTCCTTTATACCCCTCAGTTTTTCTTTGCATCCCTTCAAGAAGGCAAACGCTCTGCTGGTTTTTCTGCTGCTAGTAACTGCCCCTTCCCCCAGATGGAATTCAAGTATCTAAGGGGAAAAGCTGGGGCAGAATGTAGGCTCACATTTCTGCTTGTTACTCCTTCCGAGGCATAAGACCTGTATTCTCGGGTCTTAGTTGTCTCTTCAGCTCTCCCGTGACTTCACTCTGATGTTTCCATTTTATCCAGCTTTTCTAGTTGTCTCAGCTCCAATTTAGAAATGAAGTCTAAAGTTTTTTGTTTCTTTATACTTTTTTTTTTCTTTATTAATGTTTGCGGGAGAAAGGAAGGGAGAGAGAGAGATAGAAACATCAATGAGAGAGAACATCGATTGGCTGCCTCCTGCACACCCCCAGCTGGGGATTTGGCCCACAGCCTGGGCATGTGCCCTGACTGGCAATTGAACCTGCGACCTCTTGGTGCATGGGTCGACACTCAACCACTGAGCCACACACAGGCCTGGCGAAAAGTCTAAAGTTTTTAAACCTCAGGTTCGTCTTTCTTAAATTGAGGATGACATTACCAGGCTCCATTTCCTCCCTCGCAGGAAGGATGTGAAAGAAAAAAGTGAGATATTTGCCCTGGCCGGTTTTGCTCAGTGGTTAGAGCGTTAGCCTGCGGTCCAGAGAGACCTGGGTTCGGTTCCCACTAAGGGCATGTACCTCGGTTGCAGTTTGTCCCCCGCCCCGGTTGGGTCGTGCAGGAGGCAGCCACTCGATGTGTCCCTTTCACGCCGATGTCTCTCTCTCTCTCTCTCTCTCTCTCTCTCTCTCTCTCTCTCTCTCTCTCTCTCCTTCTCTCCCTCTCACTCTATCTGAACAAAAAATGGAAAAATGTCCTCGGGTGAGGATTAAAAAAAAACGTAAGATATTTATATGATGGTGATGATGATGACGATGACCCTAACATATGTATGACCTTCTAAAAGGTCCATCCTCTTTGACAGTATACAAATCCAGTAAATGTCAGTATATCCTACTCATTGAAATAATATCTCATTCTCATTGGTTTCAAATGGCTTATTCTTTTTATTTTGTTCCATGCTTGCACATATAACATTAAAGAAAGATAACTTAAGTATATCTCTTCCTTTACAAATTATTTTCCTTTTAAAGAAATGGACCTTGTAATGTGAAGGAAGGGGCCAGCCCAGGATTAAACTACTATTTTCAATTTTTATATTTTACTCTTCCTTTTTTCCAAAGTGATTCAAATTTATAGTGAGAGAGGATGGGGGTGTGATCATGGAAGCCACTGAATGATTCTAAAGTACCTGGATAGCCCTGGCCGGTTTGGCTCAGAGGTTAGAGTGTCCATCTGCGGTCCAGAGAGACCCGGGTTCAGTTCCTCGCTAAGGGCACGTACCTCCGTTGCAGTTTGTCCCCGGCCCTGGTTGGGTCGTGCGGGAGGCAGCCACTCGATGTGTCCCTTTCACGTCGAGATTTCTCTTTCTCTGTCTCTTCCTCTCTCTCCCTCCCACTCTTATCTGAACAAAAAATGTCCCCAGGTGAGGATAAAAAAATAAAGTACCTGGATAAAAACTTCAGTATGCCATGGTTTGGAAATAGTTAAAAAGTCAAAGAAAAGTGAACCTCCCTTATTCTAATATTTAAATATTTCTCCAAAGAATTTGAAAATAACCCCTCTTTATCTTCTGTGGTAACCACCCCTCCTTACAGAACAGTGCCCTCCCACTTTCATTCTCCAAAAGCTTTCCTCCTCAGCACCTGGGGAGGAACCTGGCAGGGCCTGGTCTTCTGCCTTTTCTCAGGAGTAAATAGTAAACAGGACTTACCAGTAAACAACGCTAAATAAGTACCATTTGTTGGCGGGGGGGGGGGGGGGGGGGGCTGTGTGTCACTTTCAGTTGTTGATTTTAATGTCTAAGACACTTCCTCAAAAAGCAAAGTGTTCTTTTGTCAGTTTCTACACGCTCATTGCTATGATCACATTCTCATAAAGTTATAGCTTACCCAGAACTTCAAATTGATTATTTCAGTAACATATTCAGTAAAGTTGGATACTACTGTGTAATTTGCCTCCAAGTAAGAAAAATAACTGGCCATGGCTTTAGACATGTTGAAGATAGAATCGTTATATAAATGTTACCCTGCTAATAACATTTATAGAACAAGTCCCAAAGGTTGTCCTGTTAACCTGTGTTATCTTACATTGAACTTACTGTTTAAGAATACTTGTTCAGCCCTGGCCAGTTTGGCTCAGCAGTTAGAGCGTCAGCCTGCAGTCCAGAGAGATGGATTCAGTTCCCACTAAGGGCACGTACCTCGGTTAGTTTGTCACCAGCCCTGGTTGGGTCTTGTGGGAGGCAGCCACTCAATGTGTCCCTTTCATGTTGATGTTTCTCTCTCTCTCTCTGTCTCTCTCTCTGTCTCTCTCTCTCTCTTCCTCTCTCTCTCTCCCACTCTATCTGAACAAAAAATGGAAAAATGTCGAGGATAAAAAAAATATTTGTTCATTTTAGTTTACTTCATTTTATTGTTATATAATACGGTTATTACTATAGTATATTTAGTACACAGAGTTAATAGAATGTTGTTGTAATGAACAGGAATTTGGTTCTTTGTCTACCTTTTTGTTTTCTTCCATACAGTCAGACCCAGCATTGACTTTCCTATGACAGTGATGTAAATGTTCCCTTCTTGCTGAACCGTCAGTCTGGGGATCCTTGTTTTAACAGAACAGTCATCCAACCTCAGTTTGGCTATTTCATATCCAGATTTCTTAATAGTAGTATACCTTTTTGGCTACATGGGAGAGAGAATAAAAGGTTTGTTTTAAGTGCAATAGAAGGTGAAAAACAAACCTTATACCCTCCTGTGCCTCTTAAAACCTTTTACTATACAGGTAATGTTTCTTTGTTCGTGGATATCCAGTTAGACTTGGTTACCTCATTGCCATTCGAATGCATAGAAGCCATTTTCATAGATGTTATCGAAGTTTACACTTATTAGTCATATACATGACAGTGGTGATTGGTTTATATGCATTTTGATAACGTCATCATTTTTAACTTTAGAGTAATAGCTACACAGAGACCTGCACATTTACTTTAGGAAAATGTATAGGAAAGAGAGAAAGGCTGGCACAGCTCTTAGCCTGCATCATTTAGTGACTTAGTAGAGTTCCGGGGCCTGCGATGGGTACGTGTAGAAACTTAGTTTTATCAGTTTACTTTCCAATGCCCTTTTTAAAAAAATTTTGATTTGATTTTAGATAGAGAGGGAGAGAGAGGGAGAGATAGAAACATCGATGATAGAGAACATCGATTAGCCGCCTCCTGCATGCCCCCCACTGGGGATTTGGCCCACAACTTGGACACGTGTCCTGACAGGGAATTGAACTGGTGACCTCTTGGTGCATGGGTCAATGCTCAACCACTGAGCCACACCGGCTGGACTCCAATGCCTTTGAATGCATGTCTCAAGATTCACTCCAGCTAACAGGGCAGTGAAACCTATGGAGTTCTCTAATACTGAATACTTTTCTGTTAACAGTAACCTTAGCTTTCTCTGGAATTACGAATGTGGTGTTCCTTCTTCCCAACCTCTAGCACTAGTGTTCTCCTCAAAAGGATGAACTGCTTGGGCCTCTGCTTAATATAAAGTAAAAACTTTATGCTAGTGTCATCCTCAAAATACTTACTACAAACAAATGATGTTTTACTTGTGAAACTCGTGAAATAAGGATTACTGCCCAGTATCCGTCTGCATGCGTAGTATCATAACATGGCATATATCATAATGTTTCACTTGTAGTATTTCTGGTGATGTTTCCTAGCAGAAATTTGGGAAGAAAATATCTGAAAACTAGCTTTTGAGAGACTTATATGAAACTGTCACAATGTCCCACCATCAGTAAAGATGTTGTGTGCTCTCCCGACTCCCGTGTGTGTGTGTGTGTGTGTGTGTTGCTTATCGAATGGAGAAAGTTGCCACACCATGCACATTAGAATCCTTAGTTAGCCAAGTATTCAAAGATATTCTTAATAATTTGTATTGCTAAGGGCTATGAAGATTATTAGCTCTCATGTATCAATTACATGATCATCTGAGTAGGGCCTGAGACATTTTTAAATTAAAGAAAAATGAGATGATCATCCTTATTTTGTGTTAACTTTTTTGCATGGAGGTTAAAATTCAACTCACTAGTTTGAGCTCTGAAGATGATTTACAGTATCTCTAAATGTAATTTGACTTTAATATTGTTATACATTTTATAGGGAATAACATCTATGCTCTTTATCCTAGATACAACCTATCCAGGTGACAAAAGAAATATTAAACTTACTAAACTCTAAAAAATAAGTTATATTACCAATGATTATCAAATATTGATGTTTATATTTATGAAAGGCCTTTTGAGATCTGAAGAATAATCAAATTGTATTTTTCCCCCCCAGAATTACCCCTGGACTACAAATTTACGAGGTTCTCTTCAAACAATTCAAAAACAGCTGGCTACTATCCACAACCTCCATTGGTCCTATCAAATGATGAAACCATGACAACCAAATAATTAACCTTATTGAAAAATGAAGTGAAGAATTATATATGCAGCAAACGTACTATAAAAAATGTTAACTTTAAAAACTACTGTAAAGTGCTTTATAAGAACAAATTCTTAATGAAAATTGACCAAGAAATTGATGTTTTTCCATAGGTCCTCTTTCTGTAGATGCCCAACAACTCTCATTATACCAAAATCTCAGTATCTTAGAACTGGAAAGACCCTTACTGATATTTTATATACCAATAGTTCTGAGCTTCGAGTTCACCTGGGGACAGACATATTTACACCTATGCCTAAGCCAGTGGCTCTAAATGTGGTCTCAAACCACTGGCATAGCATCACCTGAGAATCTGATAGAAATGCAAATTTGCTGCCCCACCCCAGACCTACAGAATTAGAAACTCCAGAAATGGGATCCAGCAACCTATGTTTAATAATAGTGTGATTCATACTGAATTCTGAGTTCCATTGGCTGGACCCTAACCTCCAGAGATTGGTTTATTTAGTCTGGGCATGTAGTTGAGCACTGGCATCTTTACTATGCCCCTGGGAAAATGCAGCCAGAATTGAGAAAACTGATCTATACCTCTTTCAATTTATACCCAAGGACACTGAGTCCAGTGAGATTAAATGATTTTTCCAAGCTATCAGGTTTTATATTATTCTTTTGTTTTCCAAAGCAAGAAATAGAAACATGATTTCTTCTGATACCACACAGCTAGTATGGAACAAAGATGATACCAGAAGCCAATTATTTCAACCTCCAGTGTTACCCATAAGGGTTCCCGCTCCCCCATAATAATGTTAAAGACTGTTTAATTCATTTTCATTCACTTTAAAGCATGTGTTCTCAAAAAGAAAAAAAAAAATGGCTCTTAGAAAAAATAATAGCTAATGCAATGGATTATAGACTGAGAAAAACTGCTTTAAGAGTGTTTATGGCTATGTTACAATTCAGGATTATGTTCTATGTGCTATGCATAGTCATATTAGTAGCTATTTGTTGCAAGCTGTTTGGAGCCAGATAGTGTTTACAGTATCAATCCTGGCTACTCTTCATGTTGTAATTTCACACTGTCAGTCCTGAACAGTAAGAGCAAAAACACTGCTTACTATCATTATTTTACTTGGACTGTAGCAGAGAACTGAGCATATTGATACCTACAATGAAAAGATAAATATTTTGTTTAAATTTTCAGTGCTTAAAAATAATCCCAAATATATTGTGGAGATAGTATCTCAGGGTAAGGTAAACAGTTACTGAAATTATTTCCTCAAAGTCAGTAACTTCCTTTGATATCTACTAATAAGAATATACTAATGCGAGTGAAACTGATTTCCAAAATCTCACTGGTCTATGATAATGGGCATACACAGTCAAGCTTAAGGCTAAATGACAGATGCTGTCTCATGTATACTTTCAATACACTTGATTTCTTTTTTAAAATAAAGCTATATTTCCTTACACGTGCTTATTTTGTAAATGGCAAAGAATAAACACATCTTTAAATGCTTATAAACTACTGTTGTTGATATGAAAAAATAAGAACTCCAAATAAGTTAATTGCCATTTTAGGGCCACTAAAGAGTAAAAAAATATTAACTCAAGTCATAAAGACGTTCTAGTCCTACTTTAATTTCTATCTAAAGATTCTAAACAAGTTAACCACCTATTTTGACCTCAGTTTTTCCCGTCTCATTGAAAGAGGTTAGAGTTTATTTCCAAGTTTCCTTCCACCTTTCTAACAGGGACAGTCAGGGATAATAATGAATGCCGTTTTCCTGTTCAACTGTAATTAGACTTTAAAACTTTTTGTCCGGCCGATGTGGCTCAGTGGTTGAGCATTGACCCATACACCAAGAGGTAGCCGGTTCGATTCCCAGTCAGGACACATGCCTAGGTTGTGGGCCCAATCACCAGTGGGGGGCATGCAGAGGCTGCCAGTCAGTGTTCTCTCTCATTGATGTTTCTCTCCTCACTTCCTCTCTCTCTAAAAATCAATAAAGGGAAAAAAATTTTTTTTTATTTCACTTCTAAAAAGTTACAGTGTTTCTAATTGGACATGAAGAGTTAAAATCATCCAAAAGTGGCATTATAAAAATTAAAAAGAGACTCTTAGAGAAGAAAAGCTATATAATAAAGTCATGAGTAACAAAGCAGGAAAATTGTGCAAATAGGCAGAAGACATAAGTTTAATATTAGCATACAGGAAAATATTTATCATCTAAAAGATACCTAAAATAGTTGTCAAGGGAGTGAAATTGCTGGCCACTATTGATCTCATCAGCAGAGGAAAGATCTGAACGACACGGTGGTCAAACAATTTGTTAGACTTTGGTATTTAGAATACTGAGATAGCAGAAACTTCAGCTGTACCTAGAATTACAATCTAAAATCAACTACGGAGTTTCTTAAACTCTAATTTGAAGGTAAATGTTATTTCCCCACCAATTCACATTCGGCAATAACTTTATATATATTTAAAGCATATATAGATGTGTATATATGTGGATATATATACACATACTTTTAGTGAACTTGTTTGAATAAAAAAAATGATGTGATTATTTTATATAACAAACCAGTAAAAAATGGAATGTCAAACTATCTGAGGATATAACAGACTGAATGTCAGAATTAGATCAATCGTTTTTGCTTCAGTGGAATGTGATGCTGCAGTAGCGTTCCCTTAACTCTTTTCAGACTCTTGATAACAAGGTCATCATAGTTGGCTGCCAGATTAGTGCAAGACTGGGGTATTATTCAAGAGAGAGCTTACCCAGTGTGGTCCAGTTGCTTCCCTTAAAAATCCTTGGGCATGGTTCTATCTATATAGGATGAATTAAAAAAGGTAAATTCTTGTTGATCTCTAGAATCATCCTCAGAAATATGGTAAAAATATAATAGTAATGAGTGCTGACTCCTTACCAGGCTACTTTATGTACCTTATTTACTCCCTACAGCAACCATATGAGGAGTGGATAGTTATTAAGATTTTACAGATGAGGAAATGAAAATTCACAGAAGTTAGATATATGCTTCTTCAAAGTTGTATGGTTACTAAGGAACAGTCTGTACATGAGCCCAAGTTTGATCCCAAAAATCGTGCTCTTGGTTGATTGGTAAAATCTTCTAATATTGGATCTAGATTAGGGCAAATTCTTAGTCTAAACCCACACTTCAATTTAATAATCACACCATGCTAGGACATATAAGGGATTAGAAATGAAGACACGGGTTCTGTCCTAAAGTAACTTGTAATTTTATAAAATAAAAATAATTTTAAATACACACAAGTATCTATAACAGAACTTACATGGAACAGTAAAATAGAGAACCAAGAATCACAGGATCCTACAATGTGTAATGAAGTCAGCTCTAATAAGCAGGTTACCTCTCTTCACAAATTCAACTGCTCACCTTGAATACTTAGTAAACTTCTCTCTTATGCTGAGGAAACCACATCAGAGAAGGAGCAATGAAAACTGATCCAAGGAAACAGTGGAAGATGGGATATCCGGGCCTATAGAAAAGTTGTGTCATTACTTAAAATAACTACAACACAGATTGCTTGACAATCATGTTCTTGTACCAAGCACCTGTTCCCATACTCATTAAAAACACACATACACAAAGTTTATTTTACTTTCTTGATACTTTGGCCTTGGTACTTTCTTGGGAAAGATCAAAGCTTAATAAGGTTTACCAAAGTTTAATAAATTAGAGAAGGAATGTATTCCTAAATGCCTATTAAAGGAATCACCATGTTGAATTTAAAAACATTCTCTAAATTTAATAGATATCAACATTTCTTTATGTTTCTTAGCAACTAAATTCCATAACTATAATATTTAAACTCCTTTGGTGCATTTACTTCCATTGATGAAAGGAACAAACTGCTAATTTCATTCATTCAGCAAACATCTCGATTACTTATGTAAAATCAGGAATGTTTTAATCTGTAATATGGAATCTTTTATTAATTAAAATAATTTTTAAAAGTACCCTTTTCAGAAACCATTCACAAATGGGTTAAGAATAACCACCTGAGGCCTGAATACACATATAAATAGGGTTTATTTTTGTCATTTTTAGTACAGTTGTCTGTGATACAGAAGGTAGTCTGAAATAAGAAAATTTAACAATCTGTATGCCTTGCATCTTAGGCAATTTATTTCAACTTCCTGAGCCTCTATTTTCACCACTATGTAAATGGAGATAGTAAATGTCAGGATTATAAAGTTAACATGAGAGCACACATAGAAGTGCCTGACATCTTGAGATTGTCAAGCCAGAGAATATGTATCTGAAGCAAAATCAGGTATCCAAGGCTCAAACTGTGACTCCATGGGGTAGGGAACTGAATAATTACGAATACAGGTAATATGGGGGGGTTGTTTTTAATAATGAAAACTGATTTAAGATAACTTTAGTCAACTGGAGATAAAGCAGAAGCAGCAGCAGCAGAAATGAGGAGCAGCGGCCAAGAAAGGTCAAAGAAGCCTTTGTGAGTGGTCTGGCCTGTGGATGTCTGAGCTGAATGCCAGAAGAGGTAAAAAAAAAAAAAAAAAAGTTATGTCAGGACCAGGGAAATTATGAAGTATGTGACTACTCCTCACAGGACACTATGGCCTGGGCCAACCAAGATGATGCCATGTACTTCTTTAGTTACAGGAGAATGAGAGAACCTCTTAGCTGTTTGGAGGTCTGCATAAGGAATGAAAAAAGTGTCTAAAATTGAGAAAGAAAAACAAAAAGGTACAAGGCAAAGAAATGAAACAGGGCTATAGGATTGAACTAATTGGTTAGTAAATACAGCCTAGAAAATGCCTAATTGAGTCTATTTTTTTTTATCCTCATCCAAGGACATTTTTTTTCCCATTTATCTTCAGATAGAGCAGGAGGGAAAGATGGAGGAAGAGAGAGAGAGAGAGAAACATCGATGTGAGAGAGACACATCAAGTAGTTGCCACCCACACGACCCCAACCAGGGCTGGGGACAAACTGCAAACGAGGTACGTGCTCTTAGTGGGAACCGAACCCTGGACTCTCTGCTCCGCGGGCTGGTGCTCTAACTGCTGAGCTGAACCAGCCAGCGCAAGTCTAATTTTATTAGACTAAACAGAACAGAAGCCATGTTAATCTCTGACAAATGAGTGGCACTAGCCTAACAGAAAATAAATATTAATGGTTAGACTGAGCTGATTATAATCTGAGGGCAAAAGAAAAAAAAGACATTTTTAAATTATATTTATAACAGGATAAAAGATAATGCTTAAAACAGGTGGTTGACGATGCAGCAGTCACTGAATTGCAAAAGTAAAATGAACATTGTAAAGGCAGTTTAGGGTTAAGATGGACGTAGAACTTGCAAAAGGAAATTGAGTTCTCTAGTACTTCAAGTTCTCCAGGCTTAGAAAATGAAACTTCAGCAAGTAGAACTTGCAAGAATTTCCCCAAGATTCAGTCAGTTTAACTATAGATTTTTCTCTAACTCAAATCAGTAATTTTGAGCCATTTGACACATTTTTGTTTAAATGGCTAAAAATACTTGGTCATTTTCAGATCTTGCAGCATCCATGCCCTCTATACTACAGAGAAGGAAGTAGTTATCTCCCAAACCTCCATGTAGTAGCTGCTGAATAGTGAAACATCCCTCATAACTGAGTTATGATGTCTGACATCACTTGTTTCTAGACATTCTATTTCAGTCCATTTTTTTGTTCTCTCTTCAAAGCACCACACTGTTGTAGGAAAATAATTTAAGTAGTATTTACAGAATACACAATGGTTTATTCTTCCAAAAGTCCATCTTAAGCCCATTATGAAAAAGAATGAGACCAAGGCGGGGAGGGGATATGGTTAACATAAACATAGTAAACAAGGATGCTGCATGGAGAACAGTTTTCCACGGAAAACAGTGACAGATCAACATATGGTACCTTAATTTCCACCCAAACCTTCACTGGTTGTAAAGAAAAACATGTCCATAAGCATGTGGCTGCAGTGGGCCTATTTACCATTTTCCAAGCAAAAAATATCTTAGATGCTTACTGTGACCATTTGATAACTAATAATTTCTCAACCTTATATATTAACCTAGACAACATACAGAACTTTATTAATTTTTATTTTGGTGAAAACAAGAAATACAACAGAGTGACAGGTTTTACTTTTCCTTCGAGCACATAGGATAAGACAAGTACTAAGGATCCTTGTTTAGTTTGACAGAGCAATTCTACCAGCATATTGGTTAGGAACATAAATTATCAAGTACCACATTACTACTAGGGCAAGAAATATCAAGTAAGTTATGTTTTTCTTCTTGAGATTACTTTCACAAGACAGCGACATTTGCTAAATTCCAGACCCTTCAAAGATCACATTATTCAAATTATATTTCTAAGGATCAAGGTATATATGAAGAGAGACCAGAACAAGCTGATATATTAATATTCACGGAAGTCCATACTGCACAGGAAACAAGTTTGATATTTTTGCACACATTCTCAATTACAAGCAAAAAGCAGGCCTATAAATGTCAATTTTGCCAGCAAGCAAAAAAGGAAAAAGGAATTAACAGGATTTTACTCAGTGAAATAAGAAGCATGTACCATCAATCTTTTACATATAAAAGGTCACTCCTAGAATAATAGAGAGAAAACATCTTGACTTGCATTTATGTGTATAAAAGTCTGGTGAATTCAAGGATACAGGAAAAATTAGGGGGAAAACCCTCTTCCAAGCATCCTCTTTAAATATCAACCACTTTGATTCTCCCACCTCTCCTGGGAAGAGCCTTGGGGCATCCCCTCCTCCCCGACTCTGCAGGGTTCCAGTCTTTCCTGCCTGCCTGTCCAAGCCCACTCCACAGCAGGCTCATTTCTGCTTCCAGGCTTTCGGTTTCTCCAGCCTAGAGCACCCTCCCCAATGCTCTGTGCCCAGACTACCCAAGCCCTGGGGAGCTTATGGCCAGGCCTTACAAAAGAAAGGAGAAAGGATAAGGGTGGGTATTATCAGCACTACCATACCCCTCCATAAGTAAGACAGCCCTGATAAGCACTGTTGTCCCACCTAACAGAACTTTGTCTGAAAATCCAGATAGACTCCATATATCTCCTTACCCCCTAGAAGGAAGACTTGGCATCTGCCACAATGCGGACAGCAGCCTGCTCCCTCTTTTGTTAGGACAGACGCAGGGAAAGAGATGGGGAAGCTGAGGACTGAGAACGAAGGGCCAGGCAGTAGGATGGAGGCCCTTGAGACATCAGGGCTATAATAAAATAGTACAAAAGACAGGGGTGACCCACAAAATGCTGACTTGGGGTATAACTAAGTGGCCCAGGGCCCCCAAAAAAGAATTTCCATCTTTAAAAAGTAGAGTCAAACTAATTTTTGATTGCTTTCGATCATAACCTGCTATGTGTTTCTCTTGAACCCATCCCTGTGAAGCCCTCTGTCTCTCCTCTCAGCTTCTCAAAATACACACAGGAGGTTTTGGTACATAGATAGGGAGAAAGGGTGAGGTTGTCAAAGCTGGCCTGAAGGAACACTGCCCATAACTAAACCACTTACCTATAGGTCTCCCTCTGAAACATTCAGACCTTGCTAAAGGAAGTGGGGTGGAGGCATGAGGGCAGAAGAGAGCAATGAGATCTGGAATATCTATTATACAGTAGCTTTCTCTCTGAATACAATCAAGGGGAGAGCAAATTAAAGAAAAACACTGTTTTGCCAAATTTGTTTCTGAGGAAGGGAGGAGGAGAGGAAAGGGGGCTATGAGACAAGGAGGGAGGAAGAGAGGAAGGGGGGACAGGGACAGGGAGATGGTTCAGAAATATACCTTCCTCAGTGCCCCCACCCTGGCAAGTTTGTCATGTTCAGAATAGGTACATGAGGGGTTAGGAAAGGGATGCCTAACCAAGTTGCCTAGATTAAGGGTGGTTTATTGGCCAGGACTCAGAAAGGCTGTTGGAAGGGACCCCCGTTCCAGCCTTGCTTTGGGCACTGTCACTTATGACTGCCCATCCTTCCTGACAGCCAGTTGGGTTTATGTGTAACCATTTGGCCTAGGGTGGGAGGCGTCCTGTGTGCTGCCTGGGGCTTCAGTCACAAATAGTTCCTGAGGAGTCAGGCAACGGTACCTGGGCAAAGCTTATCCAAAAGGCTAAAAACAGTCTGGGTAGGCCACAGCCCAGGCTTTCATACTCACCAGTACCTGGTCACAATGCTCAGTGACAAAGGTATAAGAAGATCAACATGACACAGTATACCTCTCATCTGATACCTCATTCATGCCTAGTAGCCACCTACCAACCACCTGCTTATTCTGCCAGATAACCAGCAGGCTGGATGGCACAGGCCCAGGAAGGCAGCTGGGAACCAGTTAGTGGTAGCCTGGAATGTCCAGTTTGGGTTGATGGCTGGCATCATCTGTATCAGCTTCATCTTGCAGTGGTGAAACTCAAAGATCTTGCCGTAGAGCGCAGGGTATCAGGAGCACAGCCAGCGTAAAGTATGAAGTCCAGCTAGGTATTTGCAATGATATATATCAAGTTAACTTGTGGAAGATAACCACTTAAAAACCTGGGAAAAGACCAACATCACAGACAGCACCCAAGGCATGCAAAGGAAGTCATTGCATATCTACAGCATCGTGTGCTTGGCACAGAAGCAGTGGAAGGCCATGCACTTGGAACACGTAACACTTTGCAGAACAGCAAGAAGGCCCAGAGGAAGAAGAGCATAGACATATAAGCACATCTTGCAACTGACTGAAGATTTAGAAGGACCAAAGAACAAAATCCAGTATGAAGAGGAAGCAGATGGAAGATTGCATGCTGTTGTTGGCTAAACATAGAATCCAAGAGGAGGTGGTAAAGAAACTTGTGCAGAAGCTTCTCACAGGTCAGGAGTTAGCCAGACTGGAACCTGAAGGACCTCGGGCTCTCCACTGGCTGCCTTACTGGGTCTCGAATTCCTCTGCGGGGCCCTTCACCCATCAGGTAATATTGTAAGGGATTGGGCCACAGTTCTGCTTTGATAATCTCAGCAATCCTGTCGAATTCTACGAGGCTGTGGTCTGAGAACCAGTTGAAGAAACTGGGGATAGTGTTTCCTTCGCGGTTCCTGTGGATATGGGACTGGGGGTCTTGGCCCCGGTGCCAGCGGATTGGAGTGGAAAGAGACACCACCCGGCCAGAGGATCTGCGCTCATATTCCTTGACAAGCCCCTCATTTCGGAAGTAGGGATTGCTCTGAAAGATGAACTTGAATTTGCAGCCTGCTCTAGGGTGTTTAAGTTCCTCCACCTCCAAATTGATCATGTACCTCATCATGTCTTCATCTTGACCACTGATCATAGGTGACAGCTGTGGGTGGTTCCGAAAGGCAGTGACCCAGAAACCAGGGATATTTTGGATAATGAAACTTCTGCGCTGCATATGGAGCCTTCGCATTCGGCCAAACTTGCGCTCTAGCTGTAGGAAGGCCCTGTCTGCCTGGGCATTTACGTTTGACAGCTCCTGATCGATGGCCTCCAGCGAGTCCATGCAGTTATTGACCTTCGGGGGCCTGGCCCGCGTCTCCTCTTTCACTCCTCCTCCCACCTTTTTCTCCTTCTGTATCACCTTCTTTTCCTCCACCACCTCCTCTGCTACTCCCTCCTTTTCCGCCGTCGCTGAGATGGCGCACTTCTTTGTCATCACTTCCTTGGCCTTAGCCCCAGGCATCATCTGAGACCCCAATCCCTCTGCGTCACAGGCTTCTAGAGCTTTCTCCCCGGCTGGGCCGCTCGGCTCTCTAGGCTGACAGCCATTTTCCTGGCTCTTGTCGGTAGCCACCGAGGGGGAGGCAGAGGCTGCTTCCAGCCCCTCTGCGGGAGGCTGAGCCTCTCTCTGGCCTGCTTTTATTGCTGCACCACGACTCCCAGCGACTCGAATGCGGAGCACAGGACCACAGCCGGAGGGGACCCGGGATGCGCCTCCCTCCGCAGAGGTCTGCACGCTGCCCTCACCTGTGTGCGCCATCCCCTCTGTCGCCTCTGTTTCCTCGCTCTGGCGCTGGTTTAGGTCCGGATGTCCCGGGGCACGATCAGGAGTTGTGAGACCGCAGGTTTTAGCGACAGAAGGGATGTCGCCCTCATCCAGACCGCTCATTTTGGCAGAAGTCAGACCTGCAGGATGAGAGCGATCGGTGTCCTCTGCAGAAGCGGTGCTCCGCCCCTCGCGCCACCCCTCTCTTCCACTCTGAGGAGGATGCTGCTATGGCAACCGGTGACGTCAGGACGGTAGCGTCTGAGTATCGCGCGAGAACTAATTGCTCCTTGTGATTGCGCTGGTCGTCGAGGGTATTCCGTTGTCTTTATGCTACAAGACATTTTTAGTTTGTAAGTCTGGAGGAGGTTTGGCGTACATGAATCGGTGCAGCAAACTCAAGCATGTGCGAATTGTGTTAATGTGAGTTTCTAAGGCAATGGATGAATTTCTAAGACACCTAAGCTATTGTCTTAAAGTATTTGCTTAAAAGGTAAGAAAGATTAGTTTTTGTTTATTCATGTCAGCTCATAGGGCTTCTCTTGTATGAAGTAGATTCAGCAATTCACGGTCCTTCCTTCTTGAATGTACAGATTCATGGCTATTTCCAAAGAATTGAAATGAATTGGGTTTAATTTTTAAGAAAAGTTACTTTGTTAAATGTGATATTTTAAATAATTAGGAGCAACTGAAAGGGAAACTTCTCTCATCCTCAGAAGACATAATAAAAGATAATTTCAATTTTTCTTACAGAGTTGAAAGTTTATATACTTTGGCCAACACCTACGAAGCAATTGGACAATATTTCCTCTTCACTTAACTAATATAAATAGCAAACTTGTATTTTCCTTATTTAGGGATGACTCAGACAGATTCAGCCTTTAAGCATTACTGGAAGAAATGTAACCTCAAAAGATTTTAATTTCTAAAATTATGCATATCATAAATTGATTATCCTCAAGGTTATAATCTTTATCTAAAAACAGTTTCTGCTTCATAATGCTTGTGGGCATGAAGCCAGCAAATATTTGCCAAAATCAGCTTCTGTGATAATACACTGCAGGGCAGAAACAATAATCAACTGTTTGCAGGCACTAAAGCTATTAATTGCTTTAATTAAAATATTTTAATATTTAAAATGTTAATGTTAAAATATTTATTGAAAGGGTAAGAAAAGTTACTGTCTAGTCAAATCAGCTCATACAGTTCATTAGATAGTGATGTGACTACTATCTGCTGTTTTGTTAGTTTGTTGAAATGTGAAAATACTAATAGTGATAGTCCTTAGAAAAATGCAAGAAGGAAGGAAAACTAAAAGTTTGTATATTTTTGTTTAATATCTTAAATTCATATAAGAAAATTATTATGATTATGACTTGTTGCAATAGAAACTCCACTACAGAGCACCCCAGATTATGATCACTTTCAAATAAGGGCTCAGAAGAGAGTCCAGTAAGAAGTAAGGAGTTAGGGGGAAAGAATTCAGAGAAAAGCATCAGGTATACTGAGATTTCTAGCGAGGGAAGTAGTACAGATCTGTCCAACTAAGAATGAGATGGTGATGGAAAGACACTGGCAGACACTATAGAGGAACAGCCTGTCCTTCAGAGTCATAGTTTAGCTCACAAAAGTTTTCCAATGAATTCATAAACAATTATTTTTGTACCCCTAGTCAGCCTACTCAAGGACAGACTGTCCAGATGACTCCTGCCAGCTAATCAAAAATTGTGCAAACAAGATTCACTCTTCCCAGACTACAACTATTTTTTTTTCCTTCTTTCGGCTTTCTTTTAATAAATCCTGTTTTTGCCTGTGTGGGGTAAAAAAAGAAATCAATCTATTGATTTATCCTCCACGTAAGTAAACAGTGTGCTATAATTAAGTGACTTTGTGACTTTGAGTTATTCTTTGACACTGCTCTGCCTTGTTTCTTTTCCTAAAGAATCTTTGCATTGTTGAAAGAATGATTCTCTTGGATTATAACCTGAACCAAGATGCAGACAATAAGCAAATGCTGAATTAAAGTTACTTTGCTGTGCAGGGAAAAAAAAAAAAAAAAGTTTGCTATTTGCAACAGAAAATGTTTTGTGTATACAAAATGTTTTAAAGATTTATATTTCTACTACTTGAAACATCCCTGTTCCTAGTTTTGATTTTTCACAGCTTTCCCATTCTTTAAAACTCCAAGCTTACCTCATATAGATTGCACCAGGAATTTTTTTTTAATTTTTTTTCCTTTATTGATTTTAGAGAGAGAGAGAAAGGAAGAGGGAGAGAGAGATAAAAACATCGATGAGAGAGAACATCGATTGGCCGCCTCCTGCATGCCCCCCACTGGGGATCTGGCCCACAACCATGTGCCCTGACCGGGAATGAAACCGGCGACCTCTTGGTGCATGGGTTGATGCTCAACCAGTGAGCCACACCAGCCGGGCTGCACTAGGAATTTTCAATGCATTAATTTCATATATGAGGACCCAAGAAGCTCAGAGCAGTTAACTCACCCATGGTGGGACACATATTAATTGGCAACTGCCTCCTCCTATCTCCTATATATAACCTTTCTAATTCACCTTACCATCCTGATATTCCTCTGAATTTCAATAGCTCTTATGACGTTTGCCATCCAGTTAGTACTTATTTAGCTTCTTTCTTTAACTTCCTTGCTGCTTTCATGCAGATCAGTCTCCTCACCCCAGCTAAACAAGAACAGATGCATAGTGGCTTCTTCTTCCTTAGCATCTACTGTAGTATAGCCTAGTGACTGTCTCACAGAAGATTTTAATGAAACTTAAATATTTTATTTAAATGAAGATTTTAAAAGCTTTTACCAAAATGAATAATATGACTATGTTGGTATTTCATATACATAGGGGTGGGCAAGAGTCAGTTTACAGTTATGAGTACATGAAACACAGACTTTATTTTTTTATTGTTTATTCATTATTGTATGATTTTCCATAAGAACAACTATAAACATACTTTTTCCCACCCTGTGTATATTGTAGCTATGAATCATGTTTTACATTTTTTGCATATTAGAATATAGGATTTTTGTACATAATAGCTTGTTTTGGCAACTGGCAGTAAAGCTCACTATATGAAAAAGATACCTCAATAACTTATGATTCTATAGAAAACTATCCACAGAAAATGCCATGAAAATCTAGGAGGTAATTTTAATTTGCTGTGGAACAAGGAGTTTAATAGAAATAAATCAATGTAGTCTAATATAAATGACTTTACTAAAGTGTATAATACTGTAAATTTCATGAAATATCTCGTATTGTTAGTCTTTTGAATAGCAAGTTTGTTTTTTAGAATGATATGGAGTCTAGTTATATATTCATTACAGCTTACATTTATTTAGAGTCTTCTATATACCAGACACTTAGGCACTTAAATGTGTTATCTCATTTAATCCTTGTAACAACCCAATGAGGTGATAATATGATGACCTCCATTTTACTTTTTACCTCAGAAAGACCTGAAGCAAAGAAATTGAGTTGCTTTTGCAAGGTCGCACAACAATGATGGACCCAGGTGATCTGACTCAAGAACCTGTGCACCCACTTACTATGTTATTCTGCAACTTTATACAACATATGCAATAAAAAGCACTTTCTTAGAAATAATATCATATGACCATCCCGATTTAATGTTAAATCTTCTCCTTCATCTTCCTATACCCCTGCCCCATCCACAAAAATAATAATAATTGTTGGGGAAGTGCCCAATTACTAAAAGGAGAAATAAGAATTCATGATCCTCACTTAACTGCCTTAAATCAACAACTTTCAATCCATCAGATGCAACAGTCTTTTTGTTTGTTTTGTGTTTTTCTTTATTGTTAATATGTAGACCCAACCTTATAGAAGAGGATAGAAGTCTTGGGCTGGAGTTCCAGTTCTGCTTTTCATGAACTCTGGAAATTTAGATGAGTGATTTAACTTTTAGAATCTCAATTTTCTTATTTTAACTGGAATAAGGTTATTATTTTAATGTTATATATTATTATAAAATCACCCAACCTATCTTCATTCACTTTTCAGAGAAATAGGTCAACATTGTAATGTATGTGAACCTTCTTTGTAAGAAGTTGATTTTCTCCACCCTTACTTCCATCTGCCTCTATTTCCTGTCTTTCTTCAAAAAGTATTTTATGGACCATTACAGCCAGAACATAATTAACTTTTGAACAGTTTCCTCAGAATGACCGTTAAGTATGAAAGGAACTATGTCTCCACGACTGAATGAGTCTCCTTTCATAGATTCCAAAGCTCAGAATTGAGTTGAGCAGCAGCAGAAGCATTCTGGTGGTGATGTTTCTCTTCCTGAGAGAGACGGGACAAAGGCATCTCCAGTAGACAGATGTTCTTATGTCCAGGGCAAGGCAAAATTGCCAATTTCAACAAAGTTGCCCTGCTCTATGAGAAAACAATAATTGAAGAACTTCCTTCACATTCCAGAAAGTTGCTGGACTAATTGAATTTCTTCCAGGTAAGTCAAGGGTGGATCTGTATTTGGCACCAACTCAATGTGAGGTTTCATGTGGTGGCCATGAAAATGCACCTCAAGACCTTCCAAACAGAGGAAGAAAAATTGCCCTAGGGCCTAAATGTTGTGTCCTGAAATTTGCAGCCTTTTTTGAGCAGAGGCCCACGCCTCCTATTATTAGCTGCTCCAGCCAATGACTGAGCTTGACTAGGATACTAAGGGAAGACCATTCCTGGGAGATGTGGGGCATGGTTGATAGCTGATTCTGGCTGGCTCAAGGCCTCCCAGAATATTCCTTAGATTGTAGAGCAGTCTAGGACATCTCCACCCAACTTTCTCTTGCTTTCCTTTTCACTCAGAATCAGACTTGCTTTCTAGTCTGAAGGCTCTTCCATCTGTTTCTGGCTCCCTTCCCATTTCACTCACACAGAGAGTTTCCCTAATAAAACCCTTGCACATTTAATCCCAACTTGACTCCTGTTTTTCAGAGGACCCAGAATAACACACTTGGAAGATCATGTAAATCTCTCAGTTTCAAATTTTCTATCTTGCAAATTGTGAGAGTTGGGGGACACAGAGAACTAGAAAAGTACCTACATATGTGCCATACGTTATTTTACATAATTAGTACATCAACTTTAATGTGTCAGGTAGTACTGCTATTTAACAGAAGAGGAAGTGAAGAATTAGAAAAATTAAATCACTAGCCCAGTATTACTGCAGAGACTAGATTTGAGCCCAGGCCTCTTCTAACTTCAAGGTTATATCTTCTCTACCACCTTCTCTCCTCTCTCTCTGCTTAATTGTGAAAATCAAATGAGATAACAGATGTGACCACACTTTGTAAATGTAAAAAAGTGTTATGGCAAAGCCAGAGATTTTTATTTCTGTCAGTTTTCAGTCAGGACCACTACATAATATACAGAGCTCAGTGCAAAATGAAAATGTGGGGCTTTGTGTTCAAAACCTATTCAGCATTTCAAGATGGTACAGCAGAGCATTAAATTAAGTGTGGGACCCATGAGCCCAGCTATGGTATCAGAAGAATTGTAACATCTTAGTTGTAATTTAAAGGACAAATAAAATAATTTTTTAAAGACCTATCTTAATTTGTTAATGCTTAGGCATGCCTACACTAAATGACTTAAGTAGTTAGATGGCTATACCTATAGAATCACTAGTTCTTTATATGTTTTGGAGATTAACTTTTTTTCAGATATGTGGCTTGCAAATATTTTCCCCCATTTCATAGGTTGCTTTTTCACTTAAGTATTAGAAAGCTTTATGTCAGAGTTTAATTGGCAATTATTTTCATTCTTAGTGTTAGGTAAAGCTAATGATATATCTTACAATATTTTAGATAAGATGAAATAAGTTGCTTTCAGAAATGCAGTGTATAAAACAATGCGAAAATTGCTTTCATATGTAAAACAGTGCTAGGTTCTAGGCTTAAATAATTTTTTTTTTCACCTACATGAATTTTTAGCACTAGATAATTTTATATAGGGCACTGTCCTTCACATTGCAGAATGTCAGGCATCCCAAATGTCCCTAATGAATGGCAGTAGCATCCACATTCATTGTAATAACCAAAATAACGCTGGAAAATGTCCCAAGCAGCCCTTAGTGGGAGACACACACACACACATTGAGAATCAGTTTTTTCAATGCTTGTAAATACAGTATTCCTGTTCCTGGTCTTTAAAATGATAATCTGACTGGAGTTTGCCTTTGGAGTTGAAGTTTAAACTTCTCTGAAGAGAATATGGCAATTTTAGACTATACAATCATTAAAAGAACTATGGCTGACTTTTTTGTTTTTAAAATATATTTTTACTGATTTTTTTTTTAGAGAGAGGAATGGAGTGGGAGAAAGAGATAGAAACATTGATGTGAGAGAGAACCATTGATCGGCTGCCTCCTGCATGTCCCTACTAGGGATTGAGCCCACAACCTGGGCATGTGCCCTGACCAGGTATGGAACCGGTGACCTCTTGGTGCATGGGTCTATGCTCAACCACTGAGCCACACCAGATGGGTGAATAGCTGAGTTTTAAACATGTTTGGTGGTCTATATATTATTAAAATTAAGTATAATCTTTATTATATTAGGCTATCACTGTTACAGAATTAAACATTTCTCAGACAAGCTTATTTGGTTATGATGGCTCCCTGTGAAAATGTTTAGGCAAAAAAAAAAATGTCACATAGCCTTGCTTTCCTCAATCATAAGGGAAATCAAAGACAAGGTTCCTGACCTGAATGACTTCATACATTGTAGTATGCTGGGTGTGTGAGTTAATTTTATGTGTCAATTTGACTGGGCCAAAGGGTACCCAAATTAAATATTTATGTGTCTTTTGGGGGATTTTCTGGAATTAGAATTTAAATTGGTGGATTCAAAAAAGTTGATTGCCCTCCCCAATGTGGGTGGGTATCATCCAATTCTTTGAGAGCTTGGAAAGAACAAAACAGAAAAAAATAGAAGGAGGAATTTTCCCTTTTTGCTTCCAACCTGAGTACTGCCCTTTGACTGTATTTACACCATTAGTTCCCATTGTTCTCAGGCCTTAACTCACCAGCTTTCCTAAGTCTTCAGTTTGCAGACAGCAGATCATGGGACATCTAAGCCTCCATATCACAGAAACCAATTCCTCATTATCAAACTCTTCCTACTGGCTCTATTTCTTTTAAGAACCACAACTAATAAAGTGGGTAAAGACATCCACCTTGGAATCACACAGAACTGGTTATAAGTCTCTGTTGTACCACTGAATAGCTATTCAGTATGAGCAGATCACTTCCTTGAGCCACAGTTTCCTTATATACAAAATGAATATAATAAAACTTAATTCACAGGACTGTTGTGAAGATGAAATGAGATATATGTAAAGTGTTTATCCCAAGGGGCTTTCAATAAATAAAATTTGACTTGGTAATTTTTATTATTTTTTTGCTAAGATTTGCCCACATTAAAGACACTATAGTGCAGACAGTATAAAATCCATGGCAAATTCTATTATGAAACTATAAGTGGATAGAGGTTCAAGAATGTAGAGAAGGAATCAGTAAGTGAAAAAAATAAAAGCTGAATTGGACCAACTAGGGTACCATTTGAGTAATCTGAAAAAAAATATGAAACAATGGGACATAGAAATAATATTTGTCCACTAGGTTCCAGTTATTTCTAAATGATTCTAGACATGTAGTATTTCCAGTTCATGGCGGGGGGGGGGTAGTTTATTGCTTAAACTAAAATGCTTCACCACAATTTTCTTCCTAATATTACCTTAGACTTCATAAAATACCTTTAGAAAAAAATTAGTTATGCAGAGTCTATGCTTTTAATACCTAATCAGAGAGGATTAATCAAAACTGACCTGAGAGTAAACTCTTGAGAAGTTTTGGCCATTATTTAAAATGGTTGATTATAACAGCACCTAGATAACCACGTACCCACCAGTTCTTAAACCCATCTCAACACAACTCTTAATGGTAGTGTGCTAAGAAAAGTCAGAGCTTGGTGAAGAGGATAAGAATTAAGTATTGTCTGTTATAAGTAATAATTTACTGAAATGTCCATAAATATACATTTCTTAATGATATAAGTTCTTTACATCTCAGCAGCCAAATTCCAGAGGGATATTAAAACATTCGCATTACACTGGCCCATTCTGTTCTTCTTTACTTTACTGAAGGAAAGTAAAACCAACAATTTAACTCAAGCAGTAAATATCCAAATCTGCATTCTCAAATATAAGAAATAATTATAACCTGATCAATTTTGGAAAACTTCCATTATTTAACATAAAGAAATAAAGATAAATAAATAGATCCCTTTTTAAAGCCATTCACGAATGGCTTAGGAATAACTTTCAACTAAAGCCATGATATGCATACTTAATTAGGATTTTACATGTTTTTAAGCCAAAATCACAGGCTACTGCAATATGGTGGAATGTGCCCTCCCTTGAAATGAGAAACCCTAATTGAATATAGCTTGTGTTACTTATATCTAGGTTAATACACTCCAATTTGCTGAGCCTCTATTTCCCTTTTAAATGGAGATAGTGATATAAAAACTATAGGATTGCAAATGTAAAATGAGAGCACACTTAGAAATTCCTGGTATTTCTAAGAATCTGCTAAAAATATTAAGATAGATGTGTACTTGAACCAGAATTGGATATCTAAGGCTCAAATTGTGACTCTGTGCAGCAGGGAATTTAACTGTGATTAAGAATATAGGTAAATATCGTGTTTTTTTTTTTATAATGAAAACTAAATTCAGGAAACAATCAACTAGAGTTGAAGAAGGAGCAGCAATAGAGTTTAGGTTCCCAAACCTTATCATGCATCAGAATCTCCTGGAGTGCTGGTTAAAACACAACTGCTGGGTTCCACTTCCCAAGTTTCTGATTCAGTAGGTAAGAAACATGGTTCTAGAATTTGTAGTTCTAACAAGATTCTGGTGGTGCTGATACTGCTGGTCTGGGGACCACCCTTTGTGATCCACTGTTTTAAGGTAATGGAGAGGAGCAGGTTGGAGCTGAAAAGTCAGAAGGGCCCAAATAAAAAAGGTCAGAGAAGCATCTTGTAGGCATTTGAATATGCAGAAATGGAAAGGGAAATTCAGGGAGATTCTTGAGAGTGCCCCAGGGAGATTATTTTGTCAGCACTATTTCAGGTCATACTATTCTGAGCAGACTAAATTTCTTTGTTGACCAGAGGATGACAGGACCTTTAAGTTAAGGGAATCTCCAGAGAGATCAACTTTGGCCTGGAATTGAGAGAGAAAAAGTTAAAAGGGTAAAATGAAATGTCTTTAATCAACTTGTTCTCAACTACCTAAGATATACTCAGTACTTTGTAAAACGTACTGTGTAAAACTTTTTTCTGGATATAAGTAAGGGACACTGAAAAACGTGAATAAATCTTTGTATTTTACTGTGTCACTATGTGTCAATTATTTGTTTGCCTATCAGTATTTCCCCAGTTCTTTAACAAAGGAAACGCACTTACACTCGTTATCTTCCTCAGGCCACACAAAACACCTTAAAAAATGTTCATGGAATTCAATTTAATGAATTATTGTGTTATTTTCTAGAATAGAGGATCCTACAAAGAACACCAAGTACATAAAAAAATTTCTTTTCATCTTCCCTAAGAGGAATAGAAAAACTGAAAGGTAGAAGTTATGACAGGCCTTGAAGGATCTCACTGAGACAGAAGGTGGTAGGGCTTGAAGAATGAACAAGTTTTTACAGCTGAGAAACTATGGGATAGAAAAGTATATCACTTGCAATAAGAGTTCTTTGAATGTGTGTTTATTAAGTACACAAATGACTAAAAAGAGCCTGAATAATCTGAGACTATTATCTACATAGACAGAAATGGGAGCTCTAAAGAAGTGAAGTGGGTAGAGGGCTGCTGCACAAACTGTATGGGGAAAAAAGTGACATTATGAGTAAGCAGTTGCAATTGTTGACATTTTAAAGCAAACAAAAGCAACATCCTTCCCTACCTTGTAAAGTACAGGTGGTGTACCATATTTTATTTCACCTTTGGGATAATGCCTGTTGCATCCATTTAATGACTTTATTATATTCCATAATCTGTTATCTTGAATAATTTCTTCAAGCATGTTTGTTGGCAGGGTGAAAAATAAGAACTCTAACAGAGTAACGTGCTTTTTATTTTTAACATCATGCATATAAGAAAAGATAAATATGCTAATGGTACACTTCCAATTTGACATAGGAATCTCCCAAGTATTTAAGCTATTTTAGGAAAAGAGACACATCAATTACTAAATTGTTACCAGGGCAAATTACCAAGTGACAATCAAGCCACATGTTCTTTTTCCAGGTTATTTTTTCCATGAGGACAATTTCCAAAGTCTTGAGAATCTGACAAAACCAAGTTATTTATATCTCTAAGAATACAGTTTTGACAGAAACAAGAACAAGTTGAAAACCACTATGAATGTTCATTTAAGGCTTTATCATACTGGAAAGTAAGACTGTTATTTTCTAAATGTTGCTAAATGAAAGCGAAGAAAGCCTGTACAGCTCAGTAAACAGAAACACAGAAAATAACTGGACTTTACTAAATACTAGTGAAATAAAGGATACAACATTAATTTTCTGCATAAATTAAGTCAAATGAAAAGAGAAAACTTCCAAAGTTGTGTTTCTTTAAAGAACTCTTCTCTTGGCAACATATTTAACACTCCAATATTCTTCAATTCTCCCCTGGAAATTCTGAGAATAAGTATTTCTCCTCCCATCACCACTAACATAGAAAAAAATCTTTTCCTTGAAGACTCAGTCAGCCAGTCTTAATTTTAGGCCCAATTTTTATCTGGCTCATTTTTGCCTATGGTCTTTTGTTCACCTCCCCGTTTAGGGTACCCATCACAATCTCTTTAGTTCTTCATACATTATGAATTAGATAACACTTTTCATTCCATCTATCTGCCTTTAAACCTTCCAGATGTTGGGGGATGGAAGATGGGGAAGAAAGCAGAGGGAAATAAGAGCTCTGGAAGTCTGTTTTACAGGACAACACATCCATGTAAATCATGTAGCCAAATTAACTAAAATAATCTGCTTTTGCAGATGTTTCCAAGCTATCTTTTCTTTTTTTTTAGATAAGACACACACACCAAGAAAATATACTGCTTTCCTGACAATCCTTTTCAGGATAAGGAAAGGAGGTACAAAGAAGTACGTAAGTTTTGTGTGAATTCACTAGTTGAGGCTGAAAAGCCTGGACACCATCCTTACCCTTGTCATGAAGACAAGGTCTAACTTGTCACCCAACCACTTGCCTGACAGTAGGGTTCATGGATGATGGGGGTGGAGAAAAGAGGGGGTGAGGAACTGAGGAGATGTCTTCTGGGTAGAGGAATGGAAGGGCTGGAAAAAAAACTTGTGCTGCAGAAAACTTGTGTCCACCACCAGTTCTGGAGATCCTGCTTTATCAGAAATGACAGGGGCTGACAGTGAGATGTTCATTCAATAGGCAACAGCCAAGAGGGGTGGGCACAGCGAGAAGCAAGCAACGATAGGAGGTGACCCGAGGTGCAAGGGGAACATTGGTCACATAAATCACCAAGACCAAGTGGCCCACTGCTGCTCTCCCTTTATTTGGTTAATGACCTGCAAGTGTCCATAGGCTACGTGCCTGCACTGCAGAGCAGAGTGGGTAGAATGGGCTCCTAGACAAAGTTAGAATTCCAGGTAGTAAAAGCCAGACCAAAGGCTCTGGAAACAAATAGGGTTTAAGCAGTGCAGATAAAGGCAGTGAAATTTAAAGCATCATTTACTTGGCTTAGCAGTACATGGCCTTGCAGCATGTGATACTGATGCAGAACAGCATGAAGGCTGTACAGAAGTGGAGAAGCTTGGCCATGAAGGTCTGTCTTGAGATTGAGAACACTAAATGTCCAGAGAAAAAAGGTTGCCGGAATGTCAAGAAAACATAAAAGTAGACAGCATACCCATTTCTGTTGTCCAGCAAGAAGTGTTAGGAGACCTAGTCCCAAGGACAAAGTTTAACCAGACTGGAACCCAAAGGGCCTGGGAATCTCCACTGGTTCCCTTATTGGACGACGTCTGGCTCTACGGGCTCCTTCACGCAACAGGTAGTATTGCAGTGGATTTGGCCACAGGTCCTCTTTGATAATCTCAGCAATTCTGTCAGACTCTGGAAGGCTGTGGTCTGAAAACCAGGTAAAGAAACTGCAGACCACGTCTTGGTTCCTGCGAATGAAGGACTGGGGTTCATGGCCCCGACGCCAGATGATTGGAGTGGAAAGAGATACCACTCGGCCAGAGGCTCTGACCTCATATTCCTTGACAATCAGCTTGTTTCTGAAGTAGGGGTTTCTTCGAAAGAAGAACTTGAACTTGCAGCCAGTTCTCGGGTGTCTGAATTCCTTCACTTCCAAATTGGTTATGTATCTTAACATTTCTGCGTCTTGGCCCCTAATCATGGGGGACAGCTGGGGATGATTCCGAAAGGCAGTGACCCAGAAGCCCGGGATGTTCTGAATGATGTAGTTCCTCCGCTCCAGGTAGTGGCGACGCATCCGTCCAAACTTGTGCTCCAGTTGCTGAAAAGCCCTGTCAGCCTGGGCATTAACGGAGTCCAGTTCCAGCTGAATGGCCTCCAGGGGGTTCATGCGGAGATTCATATTCAGAGGCTGGGGCTCTGCCCCCTCCATCACCTCTTCCACCACTCTGTTTTCCTCCGCCATTTCTATTTCTTCACCCACTGGCTTCTCTACCTCCATCGCCAGCTCCACTGCTTTCTCCCCCTCCACTCTTTCCTTTTCCACCACCTCCTCATCCACTGCTACGGAGATGGTGTTCACTTCCTCGGCCTTCGCCGCTGCCCCCACCTCAGGCCCCGACCCGTCTGCGCCAGGGGTTTCTAAGGCCGGCTCTGCACCGGGGCAGCGCTGCTCACCCAGCGGACAGCCGTGGCGCAGGCCGCTGTCCGTTGCCATGGACACAGACTCGGCTTCCTGAGCCTCGGCGGGAGGCGGGGCCTCTTCTAGCCCCGCTTTAGTCGCTCCGTCACCGCGATCCCCAACGCCTCGGACCTGGGGAGTATGGCCACGGCCCACGGGGTCGTGGGAGGCCCCCTCCTCCTCTGGAAGCTGGGGCTGTGGGAGTGCGACGGCTTCCAAGCTTCCCTCCCCCGTCTCCGCCATCACCTGGGACAACTCGGTTTCCTCACGGAGCTTCAGGTACCGGTGTGGGTCGGGGTCGCCTGGGGCACGGTCAGGAGCAGTCGGGCTGCAGGTCTGGAGAAGGGCCCTCGCGAACCCATCCAGGTCACTCATGTTGGCAGCAGCCAGAACAACCGTAGGTTAATGTCCGTTTTCCTCACAGGAGCCGCGTTCGGTGGAAAGCGGCTGCTGGCGCCGCCCCCCTCCGATCTCGCGAGTGGCTCCGTGAGTGTGACGTCACGACTGTAGAGTTCACAGTACGCGAGACTTCGCTGCTGCCTGGATTGGTTCCGCCCTTGCCTGGAGCGACCGCGTTCTCTTAGTTTTACGTCCAGGAATTGTGTCCGGTGGAGCGATAACGTGACTGACATAAATAACTGTAGATGGGACTCGGAGATCAAACGCACTGGAAATGCATCTAGAAAGTGCCTCCAGCATGTAACTGAGGTCATTGTAGGGGTCACAGTGCTACACTGCATACTTTGTATAAAAAACGTGTTTCTCTGGTTTTCAGTCTTTTTTTAGGCAGGAAGGTAAATCTATTCCCTATTACTCTATAATGCCCGGAATCAAAACTCTTCTCTGTATTTTTGTTTTTAACCAAGATGAGTCGTAAATTGTTTCCCTTTTCTCAAGTAGAAGTGACATGAAAATATCAATTCTAGCTTGTAATGTCACTGGGAGCACAAGCTGCCCAGTGGCTTTTTACCTCTAAAGTGCTGCATATTATTTCTTGCTCATCCTAAATTTATAATCTACATCGAAGGAGAACTTGTGCTACATAATATCTGCAAGAATTAAACCAGGATCAGTTTGCTCAATCTTGCTCAATGGCCCTTCCCTGTAGAAAATAGTAAAGCTATTTCCGGCTCCATAAATTATTAATCTGTTAACAAATTTCGTCTGTAAGGAGATAGGCAAGTTTGGCTGTAATGAAATATGTATGCATGATAGTCAGCTCATAGTTCATTTAAGAGTTATGTGAGGGTCTCTGGTTGTTTTATTTTTAGATTGTTGACTTGTAAAGAAAACTGGTGTTAGTTACAAGATCTCAGAGAAATATTAGTTGGGTGGCTACCTGCCACCATTTTTATGAAGACAAACCAGTTAAAATGGATAACCAAACTGGTCTGGAAGTAGAAAACAAATTTGCAGAATGCCAACATGCAGTTAGTTGACTTGAAGTGTAAAAGAGGCAAACATTTTTTTTTTCTATTTGCTTTGCCTTATATGGTAGGCTGAATAATGGCCCCCAGAGACATACAACACCTAATCTTCAGAACCAATGAATATGTTTCTTACATGGTAAAGAGACTTTGCAGACATGATTAGCTTAAGGATCTGGACATGGACAATTATTCTAGATTATCTGTGTGGATCCTATGAAATTATATGGGTCCATATAAAAAGGAGGCTATGGCCCTGGCCGGTTTGGCTCAGCGGTTAGAGCGTCGGCCTGCGGTCCTGAGAGACCCGGGTTCGGTTCCCGCTAAGGGCACGTACCTCGGTTGCAGTTTGTCCCCGGCCCTGGTCCATCGTGCAGGTGGCAGCCACTCGATGTGTTCCTTTCACATCGATGTTTCTCTCTCTCTCTCCCTCCCACTCTATCTGAACAAAAAATGGAAAAATGTCCTCGGGTGAGGATAAAAAATAATAATAATAATAAAAAGGAGGCTATGGTGCCAGTCTGAGAAGAGACAACCACCAAAGCAGAGGTGAGAAAGAGAGAAAAGTGAGAGATTTGAAAATATTACACTGCTGGCTCTGAAGTTGGAGGAAGGAACCAGGATCCAAGGGGAAAATGCAGCCTCTTCTAGAAGCGGGAATGGTAAAGAAACACTCTCCCAAAGAGCCTACAAAGGAATGCAGCCCTGCCAACACCTTGATTTTATGATGCCTAACCTCCAGCACTATAGCGTAATTAATTTATGTAGGTTTAAGTTATTAACTTTGTGGTAATTTGTTACAGAAGTAATATGAAACAAGCACTCCTTGAGTTGAGATTTTGTGTTGCATTTATGTGTGCCGCAAGTTTTACCCCTTCAGCCTAGCCCATTCCTTCCTCTGAGGTCCTGTCCAACAGCTTGATTTATCATATTTTGAGTTTCTTTTTGGTTATCAAGACCAGAAACCAACTTACACAATACACACAAAAACAACATTATCCCTGGCCTGTTTGGCTTAGCAGTTAGAGCGTTGGCCTGTGGTCCAGAGAGACCCAGTTTCGGGGTATGCGCTAAGGGCGCATACCTCGGTTGCAGTTTGTCCCCGGCCCTAGTTGGTCGTGTCGGTGGCAGCCACTCCATGTGTCCCTTTCACATCGATGTTTCTCTCTCTCTCTTCTTCTCTCTCCCTCCCACTCTATCTGAACAAAAAGTGAAAAAAAAATGTCTTTGGGTGAAGATTAAAAAAAAAAAAACAAAACGAAAAAACAACATTAAAGCCAAAACCTACCACAAAAGATATTTGAGAAGACCGTGAACTCCAGGAAGATGGGGTTATGTTTTTCTTTACCACTGTTTACCTAGTACCTAACACACTGCCTTGCACAGTGTTGCATAGATTGTTAGAATTTTAATAAAGGAACAAATGAATAGAATACAGTTTCTTCTGCCTGCAGCGTGATACTTGCAGAAGTAAGGGACATGCAGATTTCCTCCCTATCTGCCCCCAGGAAATGGGAGGACATTTAGTTTCTGCAGGAAGAAAGTCCTAGTCAGAATGAATTTGTAACCACCAACTTACACCATACACAAGAATAAATTCAAAATGGATAAAAGACTTAAATGTGACTCGTAAATCCATAAAAATCCTAGAAGAAAATATAGGCAACAAAATTTCAGGCATCACATGCAGCAGGATTTTCACTGACACAATGCCTAAGGCAAGAGAAACAAAGGAAAAAATGAACACATTGGATTACATCCAACTAAAAGCTGCACAGCAAAAGAAATAAGCATCAAAATGGAAATAGAACCCACTATATGGGAGAGCATAATTGTCAACAATACATCAGATAAGGTGTTAATTTCCAAAATATATAGAGTACTCATACAACTCAACAAAAAGAAGACAAAGAACCCAATTAAAAAATGGGCGGAGGACCTAAATAGACACCTCTCCAAACAGAACATACAAATGGCCAAAAGACATGTGAAAAAAATGTCACTAATCATCAGAGAGATGCAAATTAAAACAACAATGCGGTATCACTTCACACCTGCCAGAATGGCTGCCATCAGTAAATGATCAAACAGCAAGTGCTGGCAAGAGTGTGGAGAAAAGGGGACTCTACTACACTGCTGGTGCAAATGCAGACTGGTGCAGCCACTGTGGAAAACACTATGGTGTTACCTCAAAAAGTTAAAAATGGAACTGCCATTTGACCCAGTGATCCCACTTCTAGGAATATACCCTAAGAAGCCTGAAACACCAATCTGAAAGAATATATGTTCATAGCAGCACTATTTACAATCGCTAAGATCTGGAAACAGCCCAAGTGTCCATCAGTAGATGAGTGGATAAAATAGCTGTGGTACATATACACAATGGAATACTATGCAGCTGTAAGAAAGAAAGATCTCTTATCCTTTGAGACAACATGGAGGGACCTGGAGAGTATTATCTTAAGTGAAACAAGCCAATCAGAGACAGACAAATATTACATGATCTCACTTTTTGTGGAATATAATAAACAAAACAAGTGAATGAACAAAATAGACCCAGAGACATAGAAGTAGAGTACAGACTGATGAACCTCAGAAGAGGGGGGCGGAGTGGGGAGGGGGAGAGAAACCACAGAACTTATATACATGTATGCATAACCATGGACATAGACAACAATGCTGGGGACAGGAGGGGTTGAGGGAGTGGCTCGGGATTGGGAGGAGGTTGTCAATGGGGGAAAAAGGAGAAACATCTGTAACAAAAATAAATTGATAAAAAAACAAAATGAAGTTGTACTTATGCATCAAAGACTATAAAAGCATAAACACACACACAGAAAAAACAGTTTTGTTTTACAAATGATTTATGTTTGTGTGATCACACTTTATAACAAACTCTGAAAGGACCAACATATTTAGGTGAGTTTACATAACAAAGCCTCAAACTATCAACACTGTATTTCCAATTCTTCTATGCTTTCTGAATAAGCCAAGGTAATGATTCCAGGCCTTAACTTCATTTCTCTCTGCAAGAAATGAATATAGATCCTGTGGTGCATGGCTGAAATTACTTTTGTATAGGTAAGAATGAATAATGGAATTTTCCACAAGGCCCACTTATTTCTAATTGCCATGAAATTATCCTCAATCTTAGAACTGGAATAATTTAATTTGGCCCGAAGTGGAAACTTTTATTACTCTAATACTCCTGTTTTTAAGTGGAAGACAGTGCCAAGCTTTGACCAGTCCTAGGAAATATGTCTTTATTTGTCAAAGTCACCATTATGTTGTCCACATTATGTTATCCTGTCATTTTCTCTGTTTCTGCTTACTGGGAAAATTAGAGCTCCAACTGATAATGTTAGGAATGACTTCCAATGATAGATGGTAAATGTAAATGTAATTAGGACACTGGTGAGTGTAATTTCCCCAGATGGTATTGAGACACTTTGGAGGAATCCTTCCTTCACTTATTGTCCTTCTATTATTGGAACAGCGGTGAAATGGAATATTTGATTAACTATACACAGATCTAATTTTAATGATCTAAAAATCACAATAGAGAAGGGATTGGGATTATAACTCTTTTAAAAATTTTTTTTCTGCAAATGGTCATCAGAGATAACTGTCTTACTGACTACTCCCTCTACAACATGTTCTTCGCTGTGCACGTATGTTATTTACTGTATTTCTGACAATTGTGACCAAATTTTTATGCAAATCCCATAAAACATTTTTAAGCATTATTGCTATTCCTCAAAAATATCATGACATTGAACTAAAAGTTCTCTAAAGTTTCCTGATACTATTTTATTCAATCCTGCTATCAGGGCCTGATTTATGTATAAGTTGCTTATTCAAAATTACCCCCGAAAGAGAGTTACAGGAAATAGAAAGACCTCAGTAGGAAGGAGTAAACTCAACATACAGTTGCATTATTAAGCTACATTCTGCTCTGGGTAATTGGGCTTCATTCCAGTAGGTATGACTATCCTGTCTACTTGAGGATAGATAATAAGGCTGAGAGACT